AAGTAAAAGCGGTCAAAATACGCAGACGTTCCCAAGATTGCCCCACCATTAGTGATCGTCGGGCTTTCAGCTTTTCTGCCCCTATCTTCTGGAAATCCACCCCAAATCCCTCCGCCTCGACCCCTCCCTTGCCTCCTTCAAGGCCTGTCTCAAGACTTTCTTTGTCGGCCATGCTCCCACCCCCACTCCACCTATCCTCCAATCTTCTTGATTCCAATCCCCACCATGAGTGCAAACTGTCCAGCGCCTTCGGACGTCCTTCCGACATGAAAGGTGCTACATAAATTTAATTTGTTGTTATAATAATAATAATCCTTGCATTTGATATAGCGCTTTTCACGTCTTCGCGACGTCTCAAAGCACTTCACAGAATTGACTGTAAAGTGAATTGACCGTATATTTGTGGGCGAAACACGGCAGCTAATTGCGCATAGCAATGTCCCACAAACAGTCGTGGATTGAAAATGACCAATTTATTATTGTTTTGTTTTGGAGGGATTATTATTAGCGCTTGTTGAAGCCATTAATCAGTGTTGCACTTTTTTTCATGTCGGAGAGAGATGCTGTATTCAAAGTCAATTCACTTTACAGTATATTCTGTGAAGGGCTTTGAGATGTCTCGAGGATGTGATAAGGTGCTATATCAAATGCAAGGATTATTATTATTATCATAACTGATTATGAGGCCCTTTCATAAGGCAAATAGGGAGAAACTATTACCACAGGTTTGGTGGTCGGTAACTAGATTTAGGGTGGCTACCCAAAAAAAGTATACATTTATATAGCGCCCCTCACGGAGGATACCATCTCAGAGCGCTTGCTTCATTTCATGGCTGTTTGAGGGACATTGCTGTGCACAAATTGGCTGCTGCATTTGTCTGCAAAACACACAGGAGCTATGCATTGCAGTAAATCCTGTGAAGCGCTTTCAGGCGTCCTCCCACATGAAGGGAGCTATATCCAATGCAAGGTTATTCCTCTATTATTATCTCTCAAAGAGCTGCGACTGTAATTCTTTATGGCTCCATTTAGAGCAGTGATGGCAAAAGGAGAAACGTGAATGTTCCTGAAACAGACAAAAAAACAAATAGATGAGAACTGTATTTTGCCGATCCCTGTTAGCCACAATGCTCCACATTGGATTCCCCGTCGTGTAACAAGGAGCTCACTGTCTGGTGCTAACTTGTATCTGCACAGGGGTAAGTAAAGAGGTAGCCGAGGGGTATGATCCAAGAGCGTAGGAGATGCTTGGTAGGCAGAGGGGAGGCAAAAGCAGAAGAAAAGCATTGCTTAACACAAAAAAAACAAAGCCTTCGATTCTTTGCCTGCTCACAGTGCAACCGCTTAAACTTACTCACTTGCAGAGAGCCTAACACGGCACACAAAATGGGGGTCAAAATCGGTGTGTGTGGTTATGCGTTTGTGAGGGTGTAGTGTGCACGGGGTATAGTGTGCACGGCGTGGTGTGGGGGGAAGGGAGAGAGTGGGAAGAGGTTAAAATTTGCAGTGTTTCTTAAAGCATTCGTTAACTGATTTTAATGTTTCTTTGATCCTGATTTTATATGTGGGTGAGATATTATAGCATTTTGTGACAGATTTATATGCGATAATTACATTGTGGAATTTTGACCACGACTTGCTTTTGGTCTGAGCATGTTCCTTTGCATTTTTTGACCCCATTCCCATGATTAATAGTAACAACTACTAATAACCCTTTGCATTTGATGTAGTATTATTCTGTCAGGAAGACATCTCAAAGCACTTCAGAAGACCCACTGCAACACTGTATTTTGTAGGTGAACACAGCAGCCAATTTGTTCACAGCGATGTCCCACAAACAGCCATGTAGTGAATGACCCTGTCTTATTTGGGTTTTTGTTTGTCAACCAGGACATCAGGGGAAACTCCATTCTCTCTTAGCAGAGTCTCCAGGATCTTTAACATCTACTCGAATGAGCATAGATGGGACCTTGGTTTAGCCTCTAATCCACCACGGCCATGAAATGCTCCATGTCCAATGTAAGGACTAGAAGATTGTTGATGATGTCCACCAATGCTAATAATAATCCTTGCATTTAATGTAGCACCTTATCTTGCCCTTGAGACATCTCAAAGCGATTCACAGGATATACTATAAAGTGGATATTTTGTGGGCAATAGTTGTGAGGCCTTTGACTTCAGCACTCACCTCGTTATAACCTGCACAACAATTGGCTCCCTGGGACCCTTTGATAGCAAGGCTGCCTGGGTACTTGTGCTCGTCTCCAGACTCATTCACCCCCATCCCCCCCACAAACACACGCACGCCCACATTCACAGTGTCTGGCCTCATCTGCCTTGACCTTCCCCTCAGTGTGCGATAACCGATTTCAATGCCTCTGCCTTGCTCTTGCATCCCCATTGCAACAGAAAAAAACAGTGCCCGTGTTTCCGTGCCAGTTTGCTTTTTTTCTATGGCACCAATACTGCGCTGGTCTACCCTCACCCCCTGCCAATTGAATGGAACTAATTCAGATATAATACGTCTGCAGGCATCTTTGTCTGCAAGCTTGTGAGTTTTGGAGTTATAATAATAATAATCCTTGCATTTTAATTTAGCATCTTATCACGTCATCAAGATGTCACAAAGCGCTTCACAAGATACACTGTAAAGTGAATCGACTGTGTATTTTGTGGGCGAACACAAAGGGCGATTGTCATTCACTGATAGTGGAAGTCAATAAGCCTTAAAACTGGGTGATTGACAACATGGGGCCTAACTGAGCTAACAGAAGGAAACAAGCCCGAAAAAGGGGGAGTGTGGGTGGAGAGCACAGAATGTGGTGAAGCCAGGCAGGAAATCAACTGAAAGAACAACAAAGACCCCCACCACCCACCCAAAAAAGCTTTTAAAATAGAAATTGACTGCAAGGTACGTGTAAGATGAAGCACAAGGCTTGCTATGGAAATGCAAGATTGGTGGTAGAATAAGGCGATAGATTTTTAAAACCAAAAGCAAATGTTCGAACAAGAATGGCCAAAGGAAAGAAGAGAAAGGAATTAAAGAAAGATATGATGGAGGAAACTGCACACTGCCTATCTTTCTCCCCCCCACCCCATCTCCGGTTTAACAATGGCAGATCCTTTTGGCTCCCCCGGGATAATAGTGCGGACTAAACAGATTGGAGGAGCCCAGTTTGGCGAGAGGGGAAGAAGGAAAAGCAAACCCGATTTACCACTCTTTTTTCTTTAAACTTCAAACAAGATTATCTGCTGCAAAGCGTCTGATTTATGGCTCTGCTGTTGAATTATGTCTTGCATTTAACCTTTAGGTACTTTCAACTTCTCATCCTCCCTGGGCTCTCCGTCAGACTCACTGAACCAGTGCGCAACCTAGGCGTCTGGTTCAACCCCCAGCTGTCCTTCCTCCCCCACATCCGGTCCCTGACCAGGACCATCTCTACCTCCGCCACATTGCCCACGTCCGAACGTAGCTTTCCTCAAATACAGCCGAAACCCCGACAGCTAACTGTTCACTGCTTTGGGACGTCCTCCCAACGTGAAAGGCGCTCTATGAATGTAATTTTGTTGTTTTGGTTGCATGCATTTGTCACCTCCCGCTTGGATTACTCAACCACAATCCTCGCCAGTCTCCCCAGCTCCAGCATTCAGAGGATCCAACTCATTAAAAACTCTGCCGCCCACATACTGACCTGGACCAAACTTCGTACAGATATCTCACCAGTTCTGGCCCAGGCTCCACTGACTTCCCATCCACGAACGGATCAACTTCAAGATCCTCACTCTTGTGTTCAGATCCATTCACTCCCTGGCACCGCCCTACCTCTCCGACCTCCTCACTCCCCAATCTATCACCCGGTGCCTCTGCTCAACTGGCACCGACCTCGCACCCTCCACCCCAACATTGGAGGTTACGCTTTCAGCCACTACCCCAAAACTCTGGAACACACTCCCACAATCCCTCCGCCTTGCCCCCTCTCTCCCCTCTTTCAAGTCCCGGCTGAAAACTTTCCTCTTCGAACGTGCTTATGGCCACCTCCCCACTCCCCCTGGCTCGGAGTCAGGCTCCGCCACTGTTAAGCGCTCTGAGACGCTACCCTGCGTGGAGGGCGCTAAATAAGTGTAAATCATTCTCTTGTTGTTGAGGTTTTTGTAGATGATTTAGGTGTACCAATAGACTCATGTTATTTCTAAGATACACCTTGCATCAAAATTTCTCCCTGGACTGAGACTAGAGAGTGGATGAAATATGATTGCCCTACAGGAAAGTAGTGTTTCTTTACATTGATTTGAGTCAGGGTGGCAGAGGCAGGGTGAGGAGGCCAGAACATTGGGCTTCAATCTTAAGACACGATAGTTTTGCAGGCTAAGACAAACCTCAGGGTGCTTTCAAATGACAAATATTTTGGCAGTGCTATTATCTCTTTCTCGTGTGAGTGAATGAACAATAACAACTCAACATTTATATATCTCCCGTTCATGTAGGATAATGTCTCTGGTTGCTTCGCAATGACTGTGCTAAGAGGGGGTAGAGAATTACAGCTCACAAGACTTGCAAGGCCCAAAATTCCATGTAGTCTTAGCCTGTGAGACCATTTTGTCTTTCGATTGCTGACACCGAATGGAATTGCAGCACATTCTAACTTCAGCTTGAACTTGGAAGCCAAGGCGACAGTTTTGTTTTAGGAAACTGTGGAAATCGGTTTCCGAATGGTGACTGATTTGAAGGATGTTCCGCGGTTTCGAATCTCTTTGAGTTTTTGAGACAAAATGGTCGCTCAGAAATGTATAAAAGAGAAATATTTTCAGGCTTAACCCCCCCCCCCCCACACACACACACACCTTCCTCTAACCCCTCCAGCATGAACCAGATGGTAATTGAGGATCATATCAAGTACCTCATTCTTTACTTTAATGACGCATACGTTATGCTGAATATTTTTGAAAGTATATATTTTTTTTAAAAAGCAGTGTAACTAATGTTTGCGGCCTCAATGCAGGTTTTTTTCTGAAGAGGAAGAGAAGCAGAGAACAATGAAAACAAATGAATGCAGCTCGGGAGCGATCGGTAACATAAGCAAAGTGAAGGTAATCTCATCTTATTCACCTATCACTTTAGGATGGCAGTGACTCTGTATTTGCATAACTACTATTAATAATCCTTACATTTGATACAGCGCCTTTCACGTCGAGCCGATGAATACGTCATGAAAGCTCCTTACGAAAGAGATGTTTCTGCGTTTACAGGCTGCATCAAATATCAAATTATTATTAAATATCGATTGGATAGCTGCTGGAAGCAAGCACGTGCAGTTGTAACCAAACTCCAAGTTTGTGGAGTCCTGTGGCTTAGTGGTTAGCATGCTCGCAAGCAAGAGATCTGGGTCCAATTCCCAGGCAGGGCAAAATGTTGTCAAGTTTCCTTACTCCACATCCCTCTGTTTATCTAGCAGTAAATAGGAACCCAGTTGTTCATCGATTGCCGGATCGCTCTTCTGGGGGAGGTAATAATCCCTTCAAAAAAAAATAATAATAACTTGGTCACTCAATAATAATATACTGTTTGTCGGATGCTACTGTGTGCAATTAGCTGCTGCAATTCATCCAGAAAATATACAGTCAATTAACTTTACAGTATATTCTGTGAAGTGCCTTGAGACGTCTCAAAGACATGATAAGGTGCTATATCAAATGCAAGGATTATTATTATATATTATCAAACGAGAGTGGTGATATTATTAAATATCAATTGAATAGCTGGTTGAAGCAAGAACTCGCAATTATAAACAAGACAAACGTCTCGAAAGCTCTTGACAAGCAATTCCTGTCGCTGGGAAAAGTGGCTGTTTTTGGACTGGAACTTTCGGTACAGAAGAACTTTCTAAAGCAAGTTTGGGAACTGGGTATTGGTGGCTGTGGACAGAGTTGAATGCGCAGGCTTGCTGTATGTATCGCACCTCACGGATAGGGGATCGTGTCCTGACCTGCAAGGAGATTGGAACTGGATGGTTATGGAATGCACACACGCATTTCTTAGTCACCAACGTGAGTGACTTAAAAAGCAGTGGCCTCGCATATGGGGACACGTTTGCTGTTAGCACAGTAAAGGAGCCTGCCAGCTGTGGGGTTGGATGATTCGGGAACAACAGCAATGTTGCCTTTTCTTCTCCTCTTTTATCTGCATTTTATTGTCTGGTTTAAAAAGCCTGTAGGTATGTGTGTGTGTGCGTGCGTGAGATTTCCTTCCCTTCCCCGCCTCTTCTGTTTGATAAATTAACAGGTATTTCGTTTGATGGTGTGTTGGCCTGGCTCAGTCAGCAGCGCTCTCTCCTCTTGCGTCCCCATTTTTCGTGTACTTTTTCCAGCATAACTATACCAGACCGAGCAAGGATAATAGATAAAGGAAAGTCATACAGTAATCACTTCCAGCAGGTAAACAAGTTATATGAGTACAAGAGCTCAAAAACCATTAGAGAGGAAAAGACAACATCTAGCAAGGTTACAGAAGTCACAAGAGTACAATCATCAGCAAAATTTCACTTGAAAATAGAGCAGTACAAATGTTCAGTAATTTTCCATTACGCTTAGGCAAAATGTATAGTAATACAGCATAATGATCAACTTAACCTAATTTCATCAATCTACATTGTGAAAATTATTTAAAAAATATATATACATATTTAGTTGAGACGAGGCTTAGCAATGGCGTATAGGCATCATTCCAATTAGGAATCCCTGTTCTAGTGATTTGGAATATAAGTGTGATAATGTTTCTCAGTTCTCATACCATGTTTGTCCTTGTTCCCCCAAAACAACGGTGACAGGCACTGAATCCCACGCTAAGCAAAACCACAACTGAAGCAAAACAACTTAAGCAAAATTAAATTAAAAATTAACTCTTAAAATACCAACCTAAATTAAAATTCTTTGAATGTCACAATTCCCTTCCCCAGTCAGTGTAACGCACAAGTGGTCTCTATCTGGAGTCATGTACAGATGACGCATCTTCCTGCATTTTCTTCGCCGTTTCGGAATAGCAAAGAGCGAACTCGGGTTTTGACCAGCTTGAGTTCAATTCAGCAGTCCGGCAATCATGCTCCCATTACTGTCAAATGCTCTGGGACACTACCATCCGTGAGGGGCGCTATATAAATGCCAGTTGTGGTTGTTGTGAAGTTTGTGCGCTTTGCTCATCGCCTTACCCATTGGGTTTTGGCTTGCAGAGTTAGCAGAAGCTAAATGGGAAGAATTCACGTAGTCTTAGGCTCAAGAGGTTTTTTTTGGAAGAAGGAAACAATAATGCAAACTGATTGCTGTCCCTACAGAGTTATTGTGAGCATTCCCCACCCCCCCACTACTACATCGCTTGCACCACCACCACCACGAGTCAGTGACTGCACCCGGAGGTGTTAAATTACCTGCCTCTGACATGCGCTGACTTGATTTACAGCCGAAATCCACAGGACGGTTGCACCAGGCGTTTATACTAGACTGATGCGAATTATTCTGCCTCGCTGCCCCACACAAAGCCCAACAGAACAGTGGGGTCAGAATCTTTCAGTCGTTGCCTTGAATCTTTATGTAAAGCGACTCCCAGCTCCAGCCTCCTCCTGTCCGCTCCCTACACAAGCACTCAGCCTCTGCGTAAATACACTTTCTCAAGTTTCATTAATTTTTTTAAAGAAAAGAACGAAAAACATCAAACTGAATGCCTTTCTCACACTTGAGAGACGATTGAAGATAGATCTCCAGTGACCTTTAGTCCTTTGGCCTCATTATATATATTTTAGAAAAAAAAGCTTCCTTTCAAATAGGAGTCTTTGGGTGCAACAAGCAATGCAGTGAAAGCTGGGGATTGTAATTAATTGTGAAATGGCCTTTCTCCACAGCAAGGTTCTTTCTCTGTTCAGTCTGGTGTTTCCCAGGATGTGGAACAGTTATTTTGTTGCACTGAACACCACACAAAGAAGATTTTACCCACAAAATATACAGTCAATTCACTTTACAGTATATTCTGTGAAGCGCTTTGAGAGATCGCGATAATTTGGTAAGGCGGTATATCAAATGCAAGGATTATTATTATTATCTATGGAGCGATTCTGAGCCCTATACCAGGAATTGCTGTGAAGAGACAGTGTTTTGTAAGCAAGCACAGCAAGTCTCCAAAGCAGCCATAGAGAGAAAGAGAAAGCGTTTTTTTCCCAGTGTGTCTTTGCTATCGGGACTCTGCTGTTTATCAACAGGGAATGTTTCACAGCAAGTCTGTAGAGTACTGGTTAGCTCGCTCGCCTCGCAAGCGAGAGGAACCAGGTTTGATTCCCGGGCAGGGGCGAAACCCCAGGCAGGTTTCCTTACTCCACATGCCTCCGTTTATCTAGCAGTAAGTAGGGACCCGGTTGTTAGACCGGGTGTATCTAAATTTGGGTGTATCTTAATGTATCTATTTGCGGACGATACAAATCTAGGTGGGAAAGTAAGCTTTGAGGAGGACACAAGGAGGATGCAAAGGGATATAGACAGGTTAAGTGAGTGGGCAAGAAGGTGGCAGATGGAGTATAATGTGGGGAAGTGTGAAGTTATTCACCTAGGTAGAAAAAAATAGCAAAGCAGATTATTTTCTAGAGGGCGAAAGACTAAATCGTGTTAGTATTCGGAGGGATTTAGGTGTCCTTGTACACCAATCACAGAAAGTTAGTATGCAGGTGCAGCAAGCAATTAGGAAGGCTAATGGCATGTTAGCGTTTATTGCCAAGGGGTTAGAGTACAAGAGTAGGGAAGTCTTACTGCAATTGTATAGGGCTTTGGTGAGACCGCACCTGGAATATTATGTGCAGTTTTGGTCTCCTTATCTAAGAAAGGATATACTGGCCTTAGAGGGGGTGCAATGTAGGTTCACTATGTAGGTTCCCGGGATGAGGGGGTTAACCTATGAGGAGAGGCTGAGTAGACTAGGCCTATATTCTCTAGAATATAGAAGCATTAGAGATGAAACCTATAAGATTCTTAAGGGTCTTGACAGGGAAGATAATGTGAGACTGTTTCCCTTGGTTGGAGAATCTAAAACTAGGGGTCATAGTCTCAGGATTAAAGGTCAGACCTTTAGAATTGAGTTGAGAAAACATTTCTTCACTCAGAGAGTAGTCAATTTATGGAATTCTCTACCCCAGAAGGCTGTGGATGCTCAGTCATTGAACATATTCAAAACTGAGGTTGATAGATTTTTAAAAACTTAAGGGATATGGGGATAGGGTGGGTAAATGGAATTAGGTTAGAAGATCAGCCATGATCTTATTAAATAGAGGGGCAGGCTCGAGGGGCCGAATGGCCTACTCCTGTTCCTATTTCTTATGTTCTTAGACGATTGGCAGATCGCTTTCCGGGCATAATAATGCGGTCCCCAAAATGTGGTCACTCAATCCACGACTGTTTGTGGGACATAGCTGTGTGCAATTGGCTGCAGCAGTTCTCACACAAAGGAAACAGTCATTCCACTTTACAATATATTCTGTGAAGCACTTTGAGATGTCTCAACAATGTGATAAGGCACTATTATAAATGCAAGGATTATTATTATAAAGCAGGACAGAAGCTGTCAAACAGAGCTGTATGGAGGAGAGCTGAGATCTGTGATCAGCTGCTCCATCAGAATCCTTGATTTCACCAGACAAGTAGCAGCGAGGAGGTCAGGCAAGTGACAGGAGAAGAAGGGACAGAGAAGCACAGAGTGTAATGAGCAGTAAATGAGGATTAGGGAACGGGATCGGTAGGCATTGTGCTGACCAGTACTGATTAGAGGAGGACAGACAATCAGGTGTAAAGAGTCCTGTGTAATCAGGTGTTTCACAAACGTGTAGAAAAAAGAGTCACCCATGATTAACTGTATGAAATCGTCAGATATTTAATTCCCTTCTTTCTCAGCCCCCCCCACCCAGGCAAGAGTATTAAGACTTTAAAGTTGTGGCTGTTAGCTGTCTGTCACAGATCATATCCACTCCTGGGTATTCTACAGCATTGTCCGTCCTTTAACAACAACAACAACATTGTGCATTTATATAGCGCCCATCACACAGTGTAGCATCCCGGAGGGCTTAGCAGTGGCGGAGCACGATGCTGAGCCGGGGGGGAAGGAAGGGGTGACCCTAAGCATGGTCGAAAAGGAAGCTCTTCAGGCGCGACCCGAAGATGGGGAAGGAGGGGGCAAGACGAAGGGGTAGAGGGAGCATGTTGCAGAGTTTAGTTACTTGAACAAGTTTATTTAGATGAAGAAGAAGTTCTGCTCACTTGTGACTCGACAGCAAGTGGTCTGATGGGCTTCTCCAGTCGCTGAGTAAAGTGACCCGCAAGGCAAATGCTGTGACCATAAAGTACTGAAATCTACAAATTATTGTCTTAAAAAGTAAATGAACAACATCCAGTTAACTCCTTCGTTGACTCAGTAAGTAGCTCTGTTAACAGCCCTGCAGGGCGTTCCGAGTCCAGTCTGTAATCGCATATAAAAGGGACATTGGGGATAAATGCTTGAGGAACAATCTTTGTAAAGAGCAATCTCAATTGCCAGCTCTTATAGAACATTTCTCTCTTCAGCTGTACCTTTGCCCACCTTCCCCCTCCTCCTTCTCTCTTGGCACTTGAGTTTGTAAACTAGGCTGGCAGTCCTGAATGGCTAAGGGAGCTCTGTATTGTCAGAGGTGCTACCTTTCATCAAGTGGTTGTTAAGTCCTGGCCAAACCACCCCCAGCCCCCTGATAAAATTGGTTGTTCACTTCATGGCTGAATGTGGGATATATTTGTTTTCAATAATATCTGGTTTGTTAGATTCCTGTTTTATCTGTGTGTGCTTGTGAATCCCAGATTATTGTGTTGTCACTTTTACAGTTGATGTTCATACCAGTTGGTCTTTACATCAATATCAAAGTGTTTACTTTGCAGTCCTGTAGCTCAGTGGTTAGGTCACTCATTTCACAAGCGAGATGACCTGGGTTTGATTCATGGCAGGGGAAACCTTAGGCAGGTGTCTTTACTCCACACACCTCTGTTTACATAGCAGAAGTAAGTTAGTTGATTGGTGGATGGCTTTTCTGGGGTTAATAACCCCTTCAAAAAAAATTGATGATAATAATTGGTCACGAATCCACGACTGTTTGTGGGACACTCCTGTGTGCAATTTGCTGCCGCGTTTCGCCCACAAAATATAGTCAATTCACTTTACAGTGTATTCTGTGAAGTGCTTTGAGATGTCTTAAACCTGTGATAAGGTGCTATATCAAATGCAAGGATTATTATTATTATTTACAGATTGTCCAGCGAATATATTTAGCTACATTATTTTGTCGAATCAGATATTCTGATTGTGTTGGGGCAGGACATGTTGACAATACATAGTCTACTATTTGTGGTATTTCATGACATATTCAGCATTTTGGAACAGTGTTTCTCCTTAAGATCTTATTTTCATAATAATGGGTAGTAATAGCTTATTCTTGTGCTGATATTATGAGAGCTTCTCTTTAGGCTTTCAGATCCCTGTAAGTCAACCAGTTATAGCTTCGATTCATATCTAGACTTTGTTCTTTCATTTCTCTTGGAAATTAACAATGCCCTGATTTTCTTCTCTCATTCACTTTTTCTACAAGATATAATTTTCATCCACAAAATATACAGTCAATTCACTTTGCAATATGTTCTGTGAAGCGCTTTGAGACATCACAAAGACGTGATAAGGCGCTATATTAAATGCAAGAATTATTATTATTTTCTTTTAAGGACAATTTTCATCATTGTTATTATTAAGTAGATCCCATGATAGTATTCAAAAAGAGAAGGGAATTTCTCCTCATGTCCCGTCTCAACAAATCCTCCAGATTAATTGGCCACTCGCCTCATCGCAGTTTGTGAGGCCCAATTTACACAAGCGTTTGCTTTGGCTTTCCACAAAGATTCACTGTGCCTCGACAGTAATTACTTTAAGAAGGAAGCACTTCAAGATATTTTGATGGGATAAGGTGCTTTTTTAAAAAAAGAATTATGTTCTGTTCAGCTCCATGTGGTGTTTCCTCCCAAGTACTGATCATAAAGTTCAAAGCATGATCGGAGCCAAAGGCGCCCGGCAGCAAATAATGTTGTTACCAGCGGGGACCAAAGTGAGAGTTTTTTTTAATGGTTCAAACTTAATTGTTCAGCTCTAGGGCCCAGTGTTGGCAACCAGGTGTTGCTTGTTTTGATTTTAAGATTTATGTGAGTCGCTAGTGATCCCTGAGGGAAGAGAATCCCTGATTTAAACCATAAATTTTAATCTGTCCCTTTGCGGTTGTTTGTGGGTCGGTCGTTGCTGTGGGTAAACTGGGTGCTGTGTTAGTCTGTACAAAAATACACGGGGCCAGTCAAAATCCTGCGAAATGCTTTGAGACGTCTCGATGATGTGACGAGGCGCTGCGGCAAAGGCGAGGATTATTACCTGACTTGCATCTCCCTCCACAGCCTTTACTGAATGGAGAGTCTGATCAATGGGAACAGGCGACACCACCTACCCCACAGAGTCCAAATACGAACCAGAGCGAGAGTGAGAGCCCAGCAGGTAAGAGCTCCAGCGAATGTGAACTTTGATGTGCTTTGTGAAACTTTGGGTCTGAAATTCCACCTGGTCTTACCATTCTTGCCGTAAAATTTCAGGTGGTGTGGAATTTTTGGAAAAGTCCTTAATTTGGAAGTGTCTTTTTTGTTTTCTATCTCGCAGTTCTTAAAAAGAAACCGTGGTCCACATTAAGACTATTGAAAGATTTTCCACAATTCCGCACCACCTTAATAAGACTGAGGTGAATGGATTTGCGTAGGAATGGGAGAGAATACTACCGCTGACTGCTTTAATTGACTTGAGGCCCCCCTTTTTTTTTATCCCAGTATAAAACCTGCTGGATCTTTTCATTAGTAGATGGAATTGGCAGCAAATTAAATGATTAAAATGAAACAAAAATTAAATAATTTTCAATTTCAAGAGTAATCTCCACTGAGGCTTTGCAAATGCCACAAAATCGAGGGAAGAACAGTGACATTTTCTAATCCATTAGGAATTTCACCACTGCAGCACTTCCAAAGTGTTTACTAACCAATCTGTGTGCTGGTTCATTGTTTGTACTCCTGTTGACTCAGTATCCTAATCCCAGAAGAATTTGTTTTATTTTGTGTGAGGAAAGAGAGGTAGAAGGACATATTTTGTTTCCCCCATGAAATATTCAGTCAGTTCACTTTACAGTATATTCTGTGAAGCTCGTTGAGACATCTAGAAGACGTGATAAGGCGCTTTATCAAATGCAAGGAATATTATTATTATATGCACGTGAGGGAGAAGGGAATAGAAGCATATAACTGGAAGTAAGAAATGGGTGGGAGACTCATGCAGGCTTGATGGGTTGAATGGTCCTGTTTCCGTGATATAGATTCTATGTAAATCTATAGAGAAAATGGTTCGAAAAATAACCTGAAATATTTCCTCTACTTCACCATTGGATGGGATTAAGTCATTGTTTTATATCTTGTCCTCTATTTCAGTCATTGAGGCTATTACTGAGACAGAGTAGTACAGGCATGGACTTGATTGGCAGGACAATTACATGGGTGGTAATTTCGGGATGAGCGACAAAGCTAATTTTGAGCTTCTTATGATCCAGGCTGTAAAATGTGTACTGTGACATATTTGCTGTGATTTCAACTTTCCCTCAACATTGGCCTTATCCACAGTTCAACTCTTGGGTGAACATTTCATAGAAGGGTTTTCCTCCAAATAAGAACTTACAACAATCTCTCTCCCTCTTTTCTACAAAAATGCAGTCGCTACACTCTGCAGTACATCCGATGTATATGGATTATTCATTGATTTACTTATTTTCACTCACAGACTCTGACATGGAGGTTATGTTGAATGACAATGAGGAGATCAGGAACGGTCCTGCTGGAAGGCTGAAGAGTAAACTGAGGTGCCAGGCTGGCTCTGATGAGGTGAGGTGTCTCTGCGTTAAGTGTGACTTGAACATGGGACTTGAACCCACAACCAAACACAGAGGCAAGCTGACCGATCCAAGCTGAAATATTCCTAAAATGTGTCAGCCTGGTTCAGTTGGTAACACTCTTGCCTCGCAAGTCACAAGGTTGTGGGTTCAAGCTCCACGTCGGGACTTTGAACTCATAATCTAAGGTGACAAACCAGTGCAGTGATGGTGAGAGCACTGCTTTTCGGAGGTGCAATCCTTCGGACGACTTTAAACTGATACCCTGTTCTACCTGTTCAGGTGGATGTTAAACATCCTGTGACACTGTTCGAAAAGTTAAGGGAGTTAACTCCCCCACCTCCCCTGGTGTCCTAGCCAACAATCCTCCAAATAAAATGTGATCACACACTTTGTAATAATAATAATCCTTGCATTTTGATTTTTTTTATTTATTATTTGATATTTGTGGCTGTTTATGTGAGATTGCTGTGCATAAATTGGCTGGCGTGTTTCCTACAAAATACACAGTCACTACACTTTATCCTGTAAAGCACTTTGAAAAATACGTCTCCCGACATGAAAGGTGCTGATTGTAACGTATAGATTCTTACATCCAACACAGATGCGTAGATGGAGCAACATGTAAAGGTTCAGTCTATTATTGCAAGAGAAGGGCTCGCAGTATGAATTAAGTTTCACTTTTATCGCCCACAAAACAGCGATGAGCCGAATATGTGTTTTGTTGCAAAACGAGTATTCCAAGGGGATGCCCCAAGACGTTAGGCAGTTATGCTGGTGTTGAATGACGCTGCATGTTTGTAGTTTTCCCAATGAACTTACCGGTATGAAATCTAAGCGTGACAAAATCAACACCTTGTTATTCCAAACTTGTGAGGACAGGCAAAGCAGCTCCAATCAGAGAATTTCATCACGGATTGAGTTCCTCGAATAACTATGATGGCGCTTCTAATTGAGGCTCAGAGGGGAAAAGTCTCAACTTTCAGCAAATGCACTATATGGAATCTTTTAATATTTCTTCTGCACGACCGGTGCAAAGGTATTTGTGGCGCTGGCTGAGGAAGTCCAATTTGGACTACAGATGGTGCAGATGTGGTGGTTGCTGGAACAAGGGATTGCAGATGTTTCTGAGCTGGCCTCTTGAGCCAAGAATCTAGCAGCGCTCTGGGATACTGGCTAGAGGTGGAGTACTTCAGGCGTATCGTGGATCAAAGCTCTGGGTATTTTTTTTGAAGGCTCCCTCGCTTTGATCTGAGTCGGCTGCTGAGAGCCCCAAAACACGGTTGATATTCAGTCTACTGTGGAGGAGAGTAGTGAAAGCACAGCGTTGACTATCAGCCATAGAATAAGCTGGAGAGATGAGACCTTACAGGAGATAAGGTCCTGTATATAGCTGTTCAGGTGGTGAATGCTTAAAGATCCCTAACAAGCTACTCAGAAGCAGAAGGGAATTTCTCCTGGTGTTCTGGCTAACAGATAAGTATTGGTCAGTCAACTCAGATGTTTATGGGGACATTGCTGCACACAAATTGGCTGCCTACAGAATACGCAGTCACAACAATAATAATAATAATAATCCTTGATATAGTTTGATATAGCGTGTTATCGCATGGTTGAGATGTCTGAAAGCACTTCACAGAATACACTGTAAAGTGGATTCACTGTGTATAATAATCTTTGTATTTGATATAGCGCCTTATCACATCTTTAAGATGTCTCAAAGCGCTACACAGAACATACTGTCAAGTGTAGCGACTGTATATTTTGTGGGCGAATCATTGTTTTAAAGTATAGTGTATGTATTTTGTGGGCATACACTACACTTTACAATAATATCCTAAGATGCACTTTGAGACAATTTGACGGCATGGTAGGGCAAGGTATGTCAAATGCAATGGGTTGTTAATTTATTGTGGCCAGTTCTGGCACATTGTGGAGTCCTGTAGCTCAGTGGTTAGAGCGCTCGCCTCATAAGCGAGAGAACCTGGGTTCGATTCCCAGGCAGAGCGAATTTCCTTACACCACACACATGACTCTGTTTACCGAGCAGTAACTAGGAGCTCGCTTGTTAGTCGGTTGGCAGATCGCTTTCCGGGGATAATGATCTCTCCAAAAAAATAATAACTTGGCCACTTCACTCCACAATTGTTTGTGAGACACTGCTGTGCGCAATTGGCTGCTGTGTTTTGCCCACAAAATACACAGTCAATTCACTTCACAATGTATTCTGTGAAGCGCTTTGAGATACCTCGACAATGTGATAAGGCGCTATATCAAATGCAAGGATTATTATTATATTATATGATGTGCCTATGACTAAGTGGCACACCATTCAGATTTAAGCTGCCCGACCCGTTATCTAACGCTCGTATGTTGCCCACAGGCAAAACGCCGAGGAGTATCCGGCTGGGAGAGCAGTCTGCGACAGAGACCAACACCACGTATCATTTTCCAGGCAGGAATTTCCTTTCATCACAAAAAAAAGAAAGAAGATAACAATATGAAACCCAAAAAGGAGGTGAACAATTTATTGCTGGCGTTCTCAACATTTAACATAGCCTAAATTGATCCTCCGCTCAGACACTTCCTCATTGAAACTGGATTTCCATAGTGACTATCCAACGTTTGGAGGTGTGAGAGGTGGGGGGCAGGGGGATGAAACATCATTTTGTTTTGGAGCTGAAACTTGTCCCCAAGGTGACGTGCTTGGCAAAGGAATGTTGGAATTGAGTCAACAATCTGTGGCGGTCTTGGGAGTTTGGTTCTTGGGGCTAAGTGGGGTCTGCGATAACGGACCAGCCAAGCCTGGCTCATCGGCAGGATTTGGAAGAACACAAAATTATTCTGGGAGCAGGGACTGGTACCCTCTGGAATTAAGTAAACAGGATGTGTCCCTCCAGAGATATTCCATTCCCTTTCCACATGTAGTTGGCAAACATATTTGCAACTCTAAAGCATGTGTATAGGTTTCTGCACGTCAGACACCCAACTGACTGACCCTGCATGAATTTCACAACCCTTTCCCCCAATTCAGCACCTTCTTGCATTTTAGGGTAGAATTGTCTCTCAGGCTAAGACAAGGTGTAATTTCAAACCTGGTGTCAGCTGTAGTTGTTTCAGGCTGCTTCAGGTCTATAGCAAAATGAAAACAGAAGTCGCTGGGAACACTCAGCAGGCCAGGCAGCATCTATGGAGAGAGAGGAAAGTGAGTTAACGGTTCAGGTTGATGACCTTTTGTTCCTCACTTCATAGATGCTGCTTGACTTTGTGAGTGTTCCCAGCGACTTTTGTCTTTATTTCAGATTTGCAGCATCTGTGGTATTTTGCCTCATGTCTATAGTTACTGGTGGGCTTCGCTGATTTAATTATGAAGCATTCGAGGACTTCATAACCATCAGTACGCACGAACAGTTCACTAGGTTCTTGAAATCCTCTTGCCGATCAGTTGAGAAGTAAAACTCCGTACCCACATCTCATCAGTTCTGGCCCAGGCTCCACTGGCTCCCCATCACTGAACAGATCGACTTCAGGACCCTCACACTTGTGTTCAAATCCATTCACTTCCTGGCACCTCCCTACCTCTTGTCCCTCGCACCCTCCGCCCCACCATCGGAGGTCACGTTCAGCCACTATGCCCCAAAACTCTGGAACACTCTCACTCAATCCGTCTGCCTTGCCCCCTCTCTCCCTTCTTTCAAGTCCTGCCTGAAAACTTTCCTCTTCGACCGTGCTTACAGCCACCTCCCCCGCCCCTGGCTCAGAGTCAGGCTCCGCCACTGTTAAGTGCTCTGAGACGCTACCCTGCGTGGAGGGCACTATATAAGTGCAAGTTGTTGTTGAAACAGAGGTCCTGTGTGTGCCGGTTTAGCTTAGACGCTAAAGATGCCGTGACACTACTCGAGAAGATAGTTTCTCCCAGTGGCTGTTTGCGGGGACGTTGCTGTGCTCAAATTGGCTGCTGCGTTCACCTGCAAAATACACGGTCACTGCACTTCACAGTGAATCCTGACATTTTCTGACATGAAAGGCACGATAACACAATGCAAGGATTTATTATTATATTATTATTTTCTACACCTAGTCATTACTTTAGCATTCCAATATTTTGGAGCGGAAATAAGGGGCCCAACTTTGACTTTTTCTGTGCCATTGAAGCCAGGTTTGTGGTTCGGTGATGGGTTCTGAGTGTGGTTACTGTGACTTATTTGTTTTTAAAAAAAGTAAGCACTCGCTTCTAGGCTATGATATGTTGAACGGTGCGCAAGAGATTTAATCTGCACTTCCTGGTGCAATAATGCTAATCCAGATAAAAAGGATGTAACTTTTGCAATGGCTGTAAATAAACAAACAAGAAATAAAGGTTCCTTGCATTTGATACAGTCCCTTATCTTGCCGGGAGGATGTCTCCAAGCGTTTTGCAGGGTTTACTGTAAAGTGCAGTGACCAGGCGTTTTGCAGGTGAACACGGCAGCCAGTTTGCGCACAGCAATGTCCACCAACCAGCCGTGAAGTGAATGACCAAATTTATTTGCTGGGGGGATGAATTTCTGGCCTGTATGCCGGGAGATACTCCCTTCTCTTTTCGAATAGTGCCACAAGATCTTTAACGTCCAGCTAGGAACAGGCAGACAGCACCTCCAACAAAGCAGCATACCCTCAGCGCTACACTGAGGTGTCAGCCCTGACTTGTGAGCTCAGAGTCCCTGATGTCAGGACTTGAATCCAACAGTTTTCTATAGGCGTTTGCCTGGCTATCAACTTATCAACTTAGCCAGGCAAACGCCTATAGGTAATAATCAGCTACGTTTATTGTAGGGTATCAATTAACAAAGAATAGGTTTCACCTTACCGTAAGCAACACTGCGCATTATTTGGCCTGTCGCTGCCTTTAATTTATACACAGTGAACGTTACACACCTGTTAAAGTGGTTGACTGGTGTGACTTAAACTCACAAGGAAAGGCTATTGAAGTAAATCAGAAATGAAATGCTTTGGATGAAGGTATGTGTAAATTCTCTAGCCCCCTTCCACCCAAGAATCTATCAGCGCTTGTTGTAATTCAAAGGAACCGGGTGATGTGCAGTGACTTGCCTTCGAGCAAATACTTTTGGTTGCACCAAGGCAGCAGAACAAGAGAGCACAGGTTTAGTGTTGCAAAAAGGCAATTTCAGGACAGACAACAGGAAGTATTTTGTTACTTAGAGGGTAATTCATTAACAACTGGTACAGGAAAATGTGGTTGAGGGCAGAATACTGGGATTCAGTTTATGTGTGTGTGTATGTGTGTGTGTATATATATATATATATATATATATTTAATTCCGGTGAAATCAAACGGACCAAAGGATTTTCTTCATCTGATTCCGATCTTGTGAACAAACGGAAACATGGCAAGTCATTATTGGCCAGGAGCATTAGGTGTTGACTTACAGAAAAGGAAAATTCAGGCATGGCACGAAAACAAGTCAAATCTACATGGTGCAAACACATGCTGTCTTCTACCATTAGCAATTTTAATTATGGAGGCATGGAGTTCGTACTGTGTTGGTTAGTCCACTCACCTTACAAATGAGAGAACCCAGGGTCAATTCCTGGGCAGAGCGAAACCTTAGGCAAGTTTCTTTATTCCACAAGCCGCTGTTTACCTGATAGTAAGTAGGAATCCGGTTGTTAGTCGGTTGGCAGTTTGCTTGATTCTGTATGGCATAGGCAAGCACGGCAGCCAGTTTGTGCACAGCAAAGTCCTATGAAGTGAACAACTTTTTTTTATTTTGGGGGGATGTTCAGCCAGGACACCAGGAGAGGAGAAAAAAAATTCTTAAGCAGTGACCTGGGATCTTTCATGTCCATCCAAACAGCAGAGACGGGACCAGAGTATAACATCTCGGCAATCCCAGTCCTAACCGTGAAAGTGGATCTCAAAACACACAATGTTTGAAATCAGAGGCCCAGGAATTCCACCTTGGTTGTCGTCCATAAGAACAATTTGTCCTAAAATAATTATAATCCTTGCATTTGATATAGCGCCTTAATCACGTCTTCAAGAAGTCTCAAAGCGCTTCACAGAATATACTTCAAGTGAATTGACTGTATATTTTACGGGCAAAACGCAGCAACCAATTACACACAGCAGTGTCCTATAAACACTCGTGGATTGAGTGACCAAATCATTCTTTTTTTAATTTTCAATATGGAGCATGATTTTGGAATTAGAAAGATGTTTTTCTTGTAGTTGTTGAAAGGAAACCAGCATCCGAATTAAGTCCGAATGCACTAATTTGAGTAAAGTAAAGAATTGGCAAGAAAAACTTCATCTCTGTTTAAGCTTGTTTTTACGTTTGATGATCATTTTTCGACACTACAGGGTTAGTACGTTAGTTACTTAGTGACAAGAAAAAGAAATTATTAACCAACCAAACGTTATCATATTTCTCCAGCGGTCAATGACACTCAGTGGGCAGCACTCTCTGACCTCTTGCGTGAGAAAGTTGTGGGACGATGCTGCGCGCAAATTAGCTGCCGCGTTTGCCTACAAATTAGACAGTCACTATGCTTTACAGTAAATCCTGTGAAGCACTTTGAGACGTCTCGTCAAATTGTATCAAATGCAAGGTTGGCTTTCTTCAACGCTTTGGTATCCACTAGGCCTTCGTGGGTGACAACGGGAGAGAAGTGTAATTGGAGTATTGGATGGATGGGAGGGATTTTCCTGGAGTAAACTTACCCCTGGGCCTGTTTTCCACTCTTTCCTTCCTTTCCTATCTCTGCTATAATATCTGTGCCTTTCTCCTCAGCTGTCCCGGATGCCAAGGGAAGTCCCTGCCAAGTCACTTGTTGAAGGAAATTCTATCATAGACCTCACTATGGAGCCTTTGGAGAGCAATACAAAAACTCTGAACAAGACAGAGGAGTTGGTTTGTGAAAACAAGGTTGTGAAGGGCACAGAAGTAGTTCTGCTGCAGTACCAGGTAACATTCCATTCAAGTGTTTAATTCATGAAATGGCGGGTTAGTAGAGTCATTTTTTTTTACCCAGAGAGTCGTTACGATCTGGAATACACTGCCTGAAAAGGTGGTGGAAACAGATTCGATAGTAGCTTTCAAAAGGCAATTGGATAGCTGCTTGAAAAGGAAAAAAATTGCAGGGCTATGGGGTAAGAGTGGGGGACTCATTGGATGGCTCTTTCAAAGAGCTGCCACAGGCACGATGGGCCGAATGGCCTCCTTCCTTGCTGTAAGACTCCATGCTTCTATGATGGAGTAAATCTAGAACCAGATGTAATTTCACCATCCTTAGATTGGTTTTCATTCTGTTCAGATGTTGTGTTTTTTTCTTGATTCTGAAGAGGGTTAACATCCACTCCGAAAGCCAAATGTAATGAACCTGAAAAATGATGTCCGTAAATTGGAAGGAAGAAAGCAAGCGACAGCATGTAGCATGGGCGTCCTGCCTGTTACCACGTAACCCATGCAGAGTTAGTTCCACGCTTGTGTGTTTGAGGACTTTCACTCGTTATCTGATATGGGGGTCCTCGAGATGTATGATATTAAAAGGCTCTAATGAGCTTGAAGCTCAGAGTCTGATTCAGCCATGTCTTTGTGAATGCACTGAGTCCTTATCCTACATGAAGGGCGTTATATGATTACAAGTTGTTGTTAGTTCGGCATCAATTTTAGACCAGTATCTAGCTGCTCTGCAATTTCCCCCTCTCTTTCACCTCACCCCCCAAAAAAAAAGTCTGTGTTTTTCTCTATCTCTGTCTTCTCGCTGTGTCTGTGTGTCCCTCTCTCTCTGTAATCCTGAACTTTCTTCGACCATATCGTGTCATGTCTCACAACTACTCGATAACCTTGTGCATTGCTGCAACTGAAACATTTCCCCGACATCACTGCCCGCTTCACTTCTACATACCTTTACGCGATGTTTCTGCTGTGATGATAATAATAGTAATCCTTGCATTTGATATAGCACCTTATCATGTCCTCAAGAGGTCTCAAAGCGCTTCACAGAATATACTGTGAAGTGTAACGATTGTGTATTTTGTGGGTGAAACACGGCAACCAATTGCGCACAGAACTTTAGGGTGTTTTAAGAGGGGATGGGATACCCTCATAATTGCAAGTTGTTCACAAGACACTGTAATAATTACCCTCAGGACGGCAAGGGATTTGGCCTTGGGGAGCTGGTTTGGGGCAAAATCAAGGGGTTCTCCTGGTGGCCTGCGATTGTTGTTTCCTGGAGGGTACCGGGAAAACGGCTGGCGATTTCGGGAATGAGATGGCTGCAGTGGTTCGGAGATGGCAAGTTCTCAGAGGTGAGTGCGGAGAGGGAACATGAAAGTTTAGGGAGCATTGTGGCGAAGGGTTTCGGTTTGGGGAGTGGGGGAGAGGGCAGGTAAATATGACTGAAAGGGTTGCTCTTAAAAATGAGCCAGCATGGACACAATGGGCCGAATGGCCTTCTTAATAAATATATATAATATAAAAATATATATAATGTAAAAAGATGGTTTAAACAACAGCACATTACTGAAATAATTCTTTAATTGACGGGTGTCGTTTTTCTCTGAATGTCACTGATTTGGTGCTCTCTTGTCTTCAAGGTTTCCACGGACAAACTTGTGCCTTTGACTGCTTTCAGTCAGTATTTTCACAGCTCTGCGTATAATAAGCTGGTCTCTTACAAAAGAGCCGTGTACCAGTCCCTGGAGGTAAATACATTTGACATATTTAAGACATAGGAATAGGAGTAGGCCATTCAAACCCTCGAGCCTCTTATAATAATATAAGAATAATCCTTGCATTTGATATAGCGCCTCATCAAAGTGCTTCATAGAAAATGCTGCAAAGTGAATTGACTGTATATTTTGTGGGCGAAATGGGGCAGCCAATTGCGCACAGCAGTGTCCCACAAACAGTTGTGGATTGAGTGACCAAAATTATTATTATTTTTATTTTTTTGAAGGATTTATTAACCCCGTAATAGCGATCCGCCAATTGGCTAACAATCGGGTTCCTACTTACTGCTAGGTAAACAGAGGTGTGTGGAGTAAGGAAACTTGCTCAACTTTTCACCCTGCCGGGAATCGAACCCAGGTCTCTCGCTTGTGAGGCGAGTGTTCTTACCGCTGAGTTACAGGACTCCCAACTGTTCCGCCATTCTATAAGATCATGGCTGATATGTACTCCAACTCTGCCCTTGCCCCACATCCCTTGATACCCTTACTTACAAATATCTATCCACCTCAGTCTTGATAATTTCAATGGATCCAGCATCCACAGCCTTTTGGGGAAAGAGTTCCAGATTTCCGCTACCCTTTGTTGGGTTTGTTCCTAACGTAATGATCCCTTCTCTCCCAAACGTTGGAGAAATCAGTTCAGTTGTCGCAGAACACTCCAGAATGTCAAAGAGCTGTTTCACCTCTTCTTGAGAACAACCGTCTTCACTTAAATTTTAACATTGCGGAATCCTGTAGCGTAGTGGTTAGTGCACCCTCCTCACAAGCGAGAGGACCAGGAATCGATCCCTGGGCGGATGAAACCTTAGGCAAGTTTCCTTACTCCACATGCCTCTGTTTACCTAGCAGTAGCAATAGGAACAATAACGACAAGTCTTTTAGTAGAATTTCATGGCCTCACTTAGCGAGTGTTTGCCTATCGCCCTTTTGAACATAACTATCGATGCAGGGACATCAAGTTGGGGAATCCAGGGAAACTACTTAATCTCCAACAGCGCATCAGATGGAGGGCTCCAAATTACACCTCGTTTTAACCTTAAGATCGTTTTCTCTCTTAAACGTATCTTATCGTCCGGTTTTAACGTGGGATGTAAATTCTTTCAGATTGCGAGCACTCGATCCGAAATGACCTTTCCCTCCAATGAGCGGAGCACTTTAGAGGATAGCATAAAGCCAATGCTGGACTGGGCCTTTGGTGGATTTCAACCAAAGGGTTACGAAGGACTGAAGCCCAAAGAGAAAGCAGGTAATCATCCGATTCTCCACAGTGAGCTTCCTTCATTCTCGTGCTGTGATTTCAGCAGCAATTAATACATGACCTGATCTTGACTGAATGCTGAGTGATCTCTCACTTTTTTTTAAAAAAGTGACAATGTATAATGATGATAATAATAATCCTTGCATTTGGCGTACAACAACTTCAGTAACAACTTGCACTTATATAGCGCCCTCCATGCAGGACAGAATTTCAGAACGCATAGTGCCTTAACATGTCGGAAGGACGTCTCAAAGCGCTTCACAGAATGTACTGTAAAGTGGATTGACTGTGTATTTCGTGGGCGAAACTCAGCAACCGATTGGGCACAGCAGTGTCTCTCAAACAGTCGTGGATTGAGTGACCATTTACTGTAAGGTGCACGGACTGTGTTTTGCAGGCAAACTTCAAAGCGTTTGGAAATTTTTGCAGTGATTTGAGCATTCTCAGCGTTACAGGCACTGTATGAATCGCGACGGAGATTATTTTTTGATCATTTGTTCTGTCCGTCACGCAGAAAATGACGCTGTGAGTGAAAAGCTCACAGAGCTTTATGTTCCTGACTTCTATCCACCATCGAAGAAGCAGAAAACCAGCATTTACAAAAGTAAAGAGGGAACTGAAGATGAACAGCGTGGACGAGGTGACCGTCTGCATTACTTCACTAGACACAGACTCTTTGTTGCACATTACCACCTCAAATCCTCCCAAAACATACCTCTTTGATCACATTTTTCCATCATCTTTCCACCTCCACCTTTCATTTCATCTGCTCTCTGGAGCTCCATCCCAAACCCATTCTGACTTGCTGCTTCATTCAAGGCACAACTTTTATCCCGTCCTACGTGCCCCACTATCAGCCGCCATCCGATGGATCTCCATCCCACAGTCCCTTCTCCTCGCCCCTTTCCTTTGCCTCCTTCAAGGCCCATCTCAAGACCCTCCTCTTCGATCGTGGTTTCAGTCACCCTCCCTGCCCTCCACCCCTCCTGATCTCAGCCCCCAGCTCAGGTCCACATCCCTGACTATCCAGCGCTTTGGGACGTCCTCCCGACGTGAAAGATACTATACGAATGTAATTTGAGGTTCTCTCACCATACTTTCGGTCGCCTTTCCCCTCCCCACATCCCCCTTGGCTCCCACCCCCAGCTTGGGTGCCCCGTTCAGCAATGCTGAGTGCTTTGAGTTGAGGGAGCTATAAATAAATGTAAATTATATTATATTTTATTTTCTCTTTTGTTTTGCAGAAAAAATTTTGAATGAAGTTATGTCAAAAAATAAAAGCATTGAAGGTAATGTTATCGTTAATTGTTTTTTAATATGTACATTATACACATTTTGTTATTTTTGTTATAATTGTTATTGACTGATTTAGATACAAAGGTTCCTGATTACTGAACAGTGAGTTTAAGTACCAGTTGGCTGTGGTTCATTGTGATACAATGTAGTTCATTGTTCTTTTAATGTTATAGTTTTAACCTAAAGGAGAAATATTAATTTCTTTACGTTTGTTGCATATTCCAATTGACTATGTTTAAAAATAATATTGTCAAATTACATAAATTATTATTTACACCCCTGTAAAAGATATTGCTGAGCTACTTCAAATAGTGCTTTGAAAGGCTTATTTCCTTTAAGCTTTCCATCAAGATTATACATATTATAATAATAATTACTGTGGAGTCCTGTAGCTCAGTGGTTAGAGCACTCGCTTTGCAAGTGAGAGACCTGAGTTCAATTCCAGGCAGAGGGAGAAACCTTGGGCAAGTTTCCTTACTCCACACGCCTAATAATAATCCCTCCAAAACTAAAAACAATAATTAAATTGGTCATTTTCAATCTATGACTGTTTGTGGGACATTGCTGTGCGCAATTGGCTGCCGCGTTCGCCCACAAATATACAGTCAATTCACTTTACAGTGTGTTCTGTGAAGCGCTTTGGGACGTCCTCCCGACGTGAAAAGCGCTATATCAAATGCAAGGATTATTATTATTATTATAATAATCCTTGCATTTGATATAGAGGCTTGCATGCCAGGAGGCCATCTTAAAGTGCTTCATAGGATTTGCTTTAAAGTGCAGTGAAAACACATTTTGTAGGACGAACGCAACAACCCAATTTGCGCACAGTAACGTCTCGCAAACAACCACGAAACGAACGAGTGACCAATTTTATCTAAAATAGTGGCAAAAGACTTTGCTTTCTAAGCTATTAACAAAAGTTTATGAAGAGTGACAAAGAAAGGTTTCAGAGTCCACTTCAATGGGACCGGAAGCCGGGCTTGTGGGTGTTGTGCAGATCCCAGAAAGATCCTTTCCTTTCCAATCACCGTGTGGACTGAGAACAAGATGACCCACGAGAATAGGGCTTTGTTAGGCATTCAGAGGGAATGCAGAATCAGGCTGGGGGGTTGATGTGGGGAGGGTTGAAGGCTGGCCTCTTACTGTTGTATTCATGCTGACTCCAGGCATTGCGTGATGGGATGAGAAGTGTTGTCTCAAGCATTGTTGCGTGAATAGGTTTGTGAAGTGAGGGGCTCTTTACAGGGCGAGGCATTGCAGGGAAGCAGAGCCTTTTATCTACCTCCGAGACACTCGTTGGTTGGTTTGGTGGGTTTTAGAAATCATGGCCCTTCTCACTCTCTTACACACACGGTCTCTCTCTCTCTCTCTCTCTCGCTGCACTTTCCAGGGCTGTTGTGCTCCGAGCTTGAGACGTTGAATGCAGCTTGGATTAGACTGCCAGTTCAATTTGTAATGCAAGGACTGGAGGAGCTCTCACCTCTTTAGAAAGCAGAGTCCATTGTTTGATAAAACCATGGCTCGTTCCAATGCGGCTGACTGACTGACTGTCTGTCTGTCTGTCTGTCTGACTGACTGTTTGGCTGACTGACAGAGTGGTGTGGTGTGGCAGCCTGAGTTGTAATGTAATTTGATAGCAAGATTCCTAAATAAGGCACAAGACAGCATTAATAAGGCACCCTGTCAGGAGTCAAAGAAAAAGCAATCTGAAACCCTTGCTTGAAAAATGGTAATGTACTTTTAATAATAATAATAATCCTTGCATTTGATCTAACACCTTTCATGTCTGGATGATGTTCTGAAGCACCCAATCCACGACTGTTCGTGGGCCACTGCTGGGAGCAATTGGTTGCCAGGTTTCACCCGCAAAAATATACGATCATTCTACTTTATATTATGTTCTGTGAAGCGCTTTGAGTCGTCGCAATGACGTGATGAAGTACTATATCAAATGCAATCGTTATTATTATCATCTCGAGGTCTTGGACATCTGGGCGATGTGACAGGGCGCACTATCAAATGCAAGGGTTGCTAGTATTAAATAAGCAGATGTTCCCACCGATTAAGGGGCATGAGGTCCAAACGTGAACAGTGCGTTGTGCTGTGTAAGCAGGCGTTGGACTGGTTTGAGGAACCTGAAGAACTTGCAGGCAAAGACAGGTCAGGTCCAGGTGCAAGGAGGAGACACCAAGCCTAATGTGTTCAATACCCACTTCCCGCTCCGAGTCTAAACTCAGATTGTAAACCTCAGGACGAGTAACAATGGTTGGGATTGGAAGATTTTGTCTTAATCCTTCATCAAGACCCATCAATTATGGCCAAATTGGTAGGCACGCAAAGCTGCGTCAGTGTCTTATGGAGCCTTCGGGGGATGGGAACGGATTATCTTACCACAGAGCCTATTCCACAGCTGTCCCTAAGAGAGAAACTGTCCAATTACTGCATCAAATGTTAATAAAAAAAATATAAACCCCTGCGCAAAATGACAATATTTTCCAAACAAAGAAGCTTTTGTGCTGAAAGCACTCGGAGCGGATGTGTTTTGCCACAGCAAGTGATGTTTTCCCGTAATCTCAGGATGCCAAGAGCGCATTCGTCTGTGGAGGAACTTGCAGCTGCAAAACGTACTCTCTGTTGCCAAAAAGTGAAGAATAATGCCGAAGGACAGATGCATTGCACTTATGGCAATTAAACTTCGGACGAGACGTTAAATCGAGGTCTCATCTCCCTTTTCAGGACGTAAAGATCCCATGGCACTATTCGAAAGGAGAAGGGGGTTTCGCTCTCCCGGTCTCCCTGGCCAACAATCCCCCAAATAAAATTGATCACTCACTCCATGACTGTTTGTGCGACACTGCTGTGCGCAACTGACTGCCGCATTTTGTCCACAAAATACACAGTCAATCCACTCTACAGTATATCCCGTGCAGTATTTGAGATGTCTAGACAACGTGATAGGGCGCTATATCAAATAATATGAATATTATTATTAAACGCACGAGCCCGTATCAACTGGGAACGGAGCCAGTCTGATATCCCTCCATTCGGTTTAAACTATAACAATAATAATCCTTGCATTTGATATAGCGCTTTTTCACGTCTTCTAGATGACGCAAAGCGCTTCACAGAATAGACTGTAAAGTGAATTGACTGTATATTTGTGAGTGAAACGCCGCAGCCAATTGCACACAGCAGCGTCCCACAAACAGTAATTTTTTTTATTATTGTTTTTTTTTGAAGGATTGTTATCAGACGTGTGGAGTAAGGAAACTTGCCCAGGGTTTCACCCTGCTGGGAATCGAATCCAGGTCTCTCGCTTGCGAGGCAAGAGCTCTAACAATTAGCTACAGGACTCCTACTAAACTATGCTTTCCCTCAGTCCTCTGCTACTTTTGCTGAGCATTAAGCGATTGCCTCAGTCACTTTAGTTGTTTGAGGCAGTGATGATAACCAAGGCATTGATACAAGAAGAGTGAATATCCCACAACATGAGCTGCTGGTTCCAACACACTCCCAACTCCTGAAACTCCGCACTCTGTTACTTAAGTGGATGTACCGTTTATGTTTGTATAATGTCCCACGTGTGCTTTTAAATAAGCCTTGCATCTAATACCGTAATGAAATATGATAGCATAATTTTCCACTGATTAGTTAACAATTGCTTGATAATCTTGCATTTGATACAGTACCCTTCACATCAGGAGGACATCTGAAAATGCTTCCCAGGATTTGCTGTGAGGTGGAGTGACTGTGTAGTGTGTGGGCGAATAGAAGCCTGGTGCTTTAATCGGAGGGCAGTGGGTGGGGTAGATATTTTGGGATCAAATGGTCCGAGCAAGAGGCCCTTCTTTGCCTGAACCTGTTGCCATCTTGTGAATACGTACATACGTCCTGATGCGTTTCCTTTCTCTTGCACCAGAATTTTGCCTTGCCTGTGGGAGCACAAGTGTCAGCACTTTCCATGCACTCTTCGAAGGAGGTCTGTGCGCTGTTTGCAAGGTGAGAGAAACGCAGCCATTGGACTAAAACAGCTATATTGTAGTTTGTGATTGGGGAGCAACAGCCCTGATTGCTGTTTTGGGGCTGAGTCCCGAGGTCAATAATAACACCCAAACTGTCCCATTGCCATGGCTGAGATCAATGCACAGGCCAGTGACTGAATTCGGGAGCTTAGTATCACGTTAATATTCTCAAGTTTAGTGGTTTGGCACACGTAATCTGCAGTTTCCTTGCGTTCAATCTACTTTGAGCGTGTTTAGTCAGCGGGCTTTCAGGCGATCTAGCTAATATGTAGTAATGGTAACTCGAACTTATAACATGGACTGCACGGAAATTGATTCATAGACTTACATAGAATGTACAACATGGAAATAGGACATTTAGCCCAACCAGTCCGTGCTTGCGTATATACTCCACAGAAGTCTCTATCCACTGCTCATTGCCTCCCGTACCTTTCTATTCCCTTCTTTCTCAGGTGAAAGTCTAACTTCCTCTTAAACGCATCTAAATATTGTCTGATGCAAAGATAGCAAAGCTTTGCCGCCTGACAAACACAAAAAAAACAAATGGCTCTGATTCGGTGACTGTGCTTTGTTGCTCTGTTGCAGGACATCTACTTGGAGACGTCGTACATGTACGATGATGATGGCTACCAGTCCTATTGCACTGTGTGCTGTGGGGGGAGGGAGGTGTTGCTGTGCGGCAATGCAAACTGTTGCAGGTAAAGTCCTTGAGCGATCTTCTAGGTGGAAATTGGCAAACGTGTGTATATTCAAGGTGGTTTTTTTTTTATTGACGTTTTGTTCTTTGCAAATGTGAGAGAGGAGGGATTAGATGGGCAATAGAGCGGGGGGTTAGGTGGAGAGTGGGGCAGTGTTGGGGGGTAGAGTGGGGCATTAGAAATGGTTGGAGTTTAGGACACTGGATTTGTTTAAAAAGCAGCTTGTGATGAGGGAGCGGGTGGTATGTCGGGTGTTCTGGAAGGATGAGAAGGGCCTTCTTCATCCAAACCAATCTTGTGATCTCACGATGTCCAGGTGTTTCTGTGTGGACTGTATTGACATCCTGGTGGGCCCTGGGTCCTCCGAAGAGGCCAAAGTGCAAGATCCCTGGCGATGTTACATGTGCCTTCCACATGAGAGCTACGGGGTGCTGAGGAGGCGAAGTGACTGGACCTTGAAACTCCAACAGTTCTTTGCCAGCGACAATGGTCAGGAATATGTAAGTGGTTCCCCCAATATCTGATGTGGCTGACAAATGTATTTTGTAAGGAATTGTCTGCTAAAGAGAGGGGGAATGTTAATAATGATAACAGTAAAGGTAATCATTGCATCCGACACAGCGTCTAAAACATCTCAAAGCGGATTTCTGCCAAGTCTATTTGTAGGCAAATCTGGAGAAAGTGGATAGGATCTCTTTGGTGAAACTAAAATACTTGACAAAGGGATCCAGAGGAAAAACATATCATCCTGACACTACCCAGCTAATGATAATAATAATAATTGCATTTGATGTAGCATCTTATCACGTCGTTGAGACTTCTTAAAGCACTTCACAGAATATATTGTGGATTGACTTGTAATTAGTGGGCGAAACGGGGCGGCCAAATGCTTAATATTCTCTTAGAGCTGTCTTATCTAGACACAAATAGCCATTTCTTAAACTCTGTTTCTACTTTGAAAGAGAGTTTGTGCACAGTCAGTCAGTGAGTCAGATTCCACTAACTGCACAAGGATAAACAGCTCCTTCTAAATCTTTAATCTGTTGTTTAACTTGCAGGATCCACCTAAGATTTACCCAGCAGTGCCTGCCGAGCAGAGAAGACCAATCAAGGTTCTGTCACTCTTTGATGGGATAGCAACAGGTAAACATAATAATGAAGAGTAAAAGTAATTGCTTTTGATATAGTGACTACAATATCTCAAAGTTTCTGTAAAGTGCAGTGACTGGGCATTTGTAGGTGAAACGTGGCAGCCAGTTTGCATGCATCAACCTTCCACAAACAGCCATGAGGTGAATGAACCCACCACCCCCTCCCCTCCCTTCTCTTTTTGAATAGTGTAACGATCTTTAACATCCACCTGAATGGGTTTGGGGGGGATTTCAGTTTAATGGTGTTTCCCCAGCATTTCATTGGGATGTCAAGCTATAGCTATAGCTATTATGAGTTTAAAGCGTGGGTCTCAACTTGAACTCACAACCTTCTGAGCCAGTCAACTGCAAGACAGCCACTGTAGTCCTCTTGGCTGAACTAATAGTACAGGGTGCTCAACACCAAAGAACTGTGATATTGAGTCATGTCAGTTTCCTTTACTAAATCACTGGATCCATAAACACCGGGACTGACTATTGCTTTGTGCAGGTTTCTTGGTTCTGAGGGATTTGGGGTTTAAAGTCGAGAGGTACATTGCCTCTGAAATATGTGAAGACTCGATTGCAGTAGGAACCGTCCGACATGAAGGAAAAATCACGTATGTGCATGACGTCCGGAACATCAGCAGAAAAAATGTAAGTGAAGCAAAGGGAGACCGGGGGCACAATAGCACGGCCTGCGTTCCTGGTGTCGCAGCAATCCACAGACACTAGCGTGTCTCTGTGCCCATCAGTAGCTAGCAAAGTTCACCAAGATTTCCCACAGAAAAAAGCGCTGTTGTGGACATTATAAGATATTATAATTTGCAAGGATACGGGGAAAGAACGGGGCAGTGGAACTAATTGCATAACTCTTTCAAAGGCCGACACAGGCACGATGGGCTGAACGGCCTCCTTCTGTGCTGTAAGATTCTATTATTCAAAGAAGCGCATGTAAATTGCCTTTGTTTTTATAGCACCTTGCTGTATTAAAGTATTTCAGGATTCTATAACTAACAACAGGAACAGTCCCGTACTCGACTGTGAGCTCAAGTCCCAACGTGGGTATCAAACCCACAGCTGCCTAACCCAGAGGCGAGAGTGCTACCAAACTGAGCCACACCTCATCTCACTGCGACCCAGAAAAGTGTGATAAAACCGAGAGAGTAGATCACTCCGTAAAGCCCCTGCCTTTACGACTGCCTTTCTTTAAACGTCAAATGCCAAGGGTTAAGGTGTCCCTTGTGTAATCAATCGACTGTGGCTTTTGCCCCTTCAGATCCAGGATTGGGGTCCGTTTGACATGGTGATCGGAGGCAGCCCGTGCAATGATCTCTCCATTGTGAACCCTGCGAGGAAGGGTTTATATGGTAGGAGTTATATTTTTGCCTTTGAACTAAGGGCCAAAAGCAACAAATTCCACTTGTGGAACACCTTTCACGCCAAGAGGACGTCCCAAGGTGTTGGGCCAGATGTTAACGTATCTTGAACCTCCCCCCACCACCCCCCTCACCGCACTTTTGACAGATTAATTATAAATTGAAAGGTTGCTTTCCTGGCATGTGTTTGTTGTTGTTGTTGTTGTTGTATTTGCAATTCAGAGAAAGGGAAAATTCTGTTGTGAAGGCCACCGAAGCCAACAGGGAGGTTGAGCAGTGCTGCCATGTGCTGAAGGTGGCGCTGTTGTAACTCGCTCCAGCCTAATAGCTCAGCAGTGCCGCCTAGTAGGCAGTTAGAGCTGCTGCTGAGGCTCGTTTTTCCCCCAAAATAATTCTTTCATCTCATAGAATATATGAGATTTCAATGACTAAACCACCGAAACGTGATGGCTGCAAAACTGTAAACTCGGATGTTCGATGTAAGACCTATGAATGGTTTCATTAGAATGGGAGGTCCTGTCCGTGTTAAGTACTGTGGGTTTACTACAACAACGACCAAAATACGGTTGTAGAGCGCCTTTCACATCGGGAGGACGTCCCAAAGGGTTTAGTGCTTTACGTGGATGTTGTGAACTGTTACTGCACCTTTCAGAATTTTGAAGGCCTCTTTTGAATGTCTTCTCGTGTTCTTAATTGAGATACAGGAAACTCTGGCTAACTCGACCCTGGTTTAACTTGTCACGACAACTTAAGTCATCAGGCTGTCGATGTCCCAGCTGTGGATTTATACAAATGCCTAACTCGCCACTCCTGATAACTCATCACTCAGCACTTTTCAATTGGAGTGGAGAGTGATCAAGAGTTTACTCTACAATGCCTCCAGTACAATGTTTGTGCAACATTGCTGCGCGCCTGTTAACTGCTGCATTTTCACCTATAAAATGCACAGCCATTACACTTTACATTAAAGTACTTTTGAGTCTTGTTTTGAAAGGCACTGCATGAAATGCAAGGATTGCAAGAGTGACAATAAATAATCCTTATGTTTGATATAGTGTCTTATCATATCGTTGAAGAGTCTCAAAACGCTTCACAGGATATACTATAAAGTCAATTGACTGTATATTTTGTGGGTGAAATGCAGAAAGCTGCCATTTGATGAAATGAGCTGCGCCACGCAGTGATGGGAATTCTGTTGCCTGTTACAGAGGGCACGGGGAGGCTGTTCTTTGAATTCTATCGGCTGCTTCATGAGACCAGACCCAAGGAGTGGGAGGACAGGCCTTTCTTCTGGCTGTTTGAAAACGTTGTCGCCATGGGTGTCAATGACAAGAGGGACATCTCACGCTTCTTGGAGGTAACATTTACAGCTTATTTTATCTCTTTCACACAGGTGATGTATCTTAGATAGGGTGACCAAAGAAGTTGTGGTACCATTACATAAGAACATAATAACATAAGAATTAGGAGCAGGAGTAGGCCATTCAGCCCCTCGAGCCTGCCCCGCCATTTGATAAGATCATGGCTGATCTTCAGACCTAACTCTAATTACCTGCCCTATCCCCATATCCCCTAATCCCTCTATTTTTAAAAAATCTATCAGTTTCAGCCTTTTCAGAGGGAGCGGGAAGAGGGCATTGATGACTGGAGCGGGTGTTGGCTCTGGGGTGAGATGGGGGAGTGTGTGGGTGGGAGATTGCGTTGCCCGGAAGAGTGGCTGCTGAGGACACACACAGCTCAATGCAGGGATGGGGGGACTGCATAGGGAGTGAGTGAGATCAGATGGGCCCGAAGAAAAGGGCTTCTTCATTCAAACCTGTCTTGTGGTGATATGGTGATGTGGTGGACTTGTGGGGGAGGGTTATTGGCCTGGACTCCAGTGATGTAGTTTCAGTCTGCAGGACAATGCCATAAAATGGGTTTGAGAAGGTGAAGAGGTTAGACAGGAGGTTAAACATGGCAATCCTTTCGGTCATTCTTCATTACCTGCCAAGAAACTCCAGCTATCTTCTCTACTTTTTGCTCTTCGCAGTACATTTCTCCTTTATGTGAAAGAGAGTCATTTGTGGAGGGTTGGTGGAGTTGGGTGGGGAGAGCCATGTTACAGATCCCTGCATTTTGATACAGCACCTTTCACATTGAGAGAGTGCAGAAATGGAGGGAGGGAGAGAGATTAAACAACAACTTGCATTTATATAGCGCCCTTCACGCGAGGTAGGGTCTCGGAGCGCTTGATTTTCGAAACCAAAATCTATCAGTCTCAGCGTTGAAGATGTTCATTAAAATGTCTAATAAGTCTAAAAAAATGATAGTTTTTTTTTAGATAATAGGGTAAATATCACAAATTTTTGGTCACCCTGTATGTGTGTGTGTATATATTAGATATTAGCCATGATCTTATAAAATGGTGCAACAGGCTTGAGGGGCTGAATGGCCTACTCCTGTTCCTTTGTTTCTATGAGCGCTTGATTTTTCCTTTCTGCTGTAGACACAAAACCAAAGAGAGAGAGGGGATGGGTGGTGGGGAGAGGGTGGGGGAGGGAAGGGAAGGAACGTGCCTGAGGTTCTGGGATTGCTTGGGTGGTACATCCCCAGTGTGGACCAGAAATAGAGAGAAAATGCTGTCAGGCAAAGGAGGCTGATATCAATCTCCCCGTGGCCATATTCAGAGCGCCATTGGCGTAGCGGTAGGTGCAAGCCCTCAGCCTACACACTGACTGGGAACAGTGCAGTCAGAAGATTGAGGAAGGGAAGAAAAGAACCCACATATTGTAGTTAGGACTTAACTTTCCTTTTCGACTGTACTTTCGGCCACCTTTATCCTCCCTCCCTTCCCCTACAGCCCCCGTTCCAGCTCGGACTCACAGCTGTCTGTGTGAAGCTCCCCGAGACAGTTCTCTTGATGTTGAAAGGCACTTAATAAATGTGAATTCTCGTTTTGTTTGTTCCAGTGCAACCCTGTCATGATTGATGCGATCGATGTGTCAGCGGCACACAGAGCACGTTATTTCTGGGGGAACCTGCCAGGAATGAACAGGTTAGACAGACTTTCAAAACCAAACCCTTAGTATTTGTTCAGCTGCTGCATTACAAAGACACGTTTGATAAAAGCCTCAGAGATGGTTTAAAAACAAACTTAATTGTTTCCTATCGCTTATGGCCTCTCATGGAGGAAAGACTCTTTATATTGATGTGAAATCTAGGGAATTATTATTCTGCACATCCGTATTTAAGGGAGAAATTACTCTTTATTAGAAAACTTCTGTTAATCAATCATAGTGCTATGGTTTTGGTGTAGCTAAGTCCTGACAGGCGCAGGTGTTATGGGTTGTTGATGCACCATTTAAACTGTTGAGAGTTTCTTGCGGGATGGTGGGTTGGTGTTCAGATCTTAATGGCGTTAATCCCCGGCGATGACTGAGGAACGAAACCAGAATGTTGACCCCACCCCCCTCAGAGGAGTTTTGATAGAATAAATCAGCAGAAAATGTTTCCTCTGGCGGGTGGGTTGGGAACCAGAGGACACAGATTTAAGATAATTGGCAAAAGAACCAGAAGGGAGACGAGGAGAATTTTTTTTTACCTAGAGAGTTGTTACAATCTGGAATGCACTGCCTGAAAGGAGTTGTGGAAGCAGATTCAATAGTAGCTTTCAAAAGGGAATTGGATAAGGTATTTGAAAAGGAAACGTGCAGGGCTATGGAGGAAGAGTGGTGGAGTGGGATTAGTTGGTAGCTCTTTTTAAAGAGCCGGCACAGGCGCGATGGGCAGAATGGCCTCCTTCCTTGCCGTAAGATTCTACGATTCTTTGATAGGCTGAAATGGGTTCTGCAACTCATGGTGAAACTGAAGCTTTCAGTGTTTAGCCTGCGGAGGAGAAATCATTTCAATCTGAGACTGGAAATCAAATTACTACTCCCACTTGGAGATGTTGCCAGCAGAGCAGGCGGGCGTGTTGCCTTTGAGTCACGGCGATATGTCCCCCAGTCGATTCCTCGCTTTAGGTGCTTTTTAGGGCAGAATGAATCACTGCTGTTAACCACACTTACATAATACACAACATGCCTCAGCACATCCACTTGTAACAACTTTAGGCCGTTGGGCCCTCGACGATTTCAGACCCAAAAATCGTAATCGCGGAATTACAAATTCCGTCACCGCTAAAATTGCTGAGGTCAGGGTCGTTCCTAACGTGACTTCCTGTGCCCTATTTCAAAGTAACTGTGATACAGGATTATTAGTAGGCGTAGCAGTATTGTTACAAAGTGGTTGGTGGTTCCCAGTGTCAGTTTTCCTGAGGAATAGAGCTGTGTTTGTCATTGCCTCTTTTTTCTTGTCTCTGACTGGATTTCTGTTCTTGTTGCAACGAGTATTTGGGCTTTGATGACTGTAATACTTGGAAGACTGTCCTGCTAGCTGTTGCGTCTTGTAGGAAATTACTGCTGAGGTACTCTCAGTCAGGGTTTGAGATGACCTGGGATCTCGTTTGCAATCATTTTGCTTAATGCTTTTTTTTTTAACACCAAACACCTTTTAAACTATTTTTAGCAAGGAATATAAGCAGAGAGGGTGGGAGAGCAGTGGGTGGATGACTTCTTAGAGGAAAGAAAAGGATTCCCGCTTACTGTGTGTTAGATTTTAGATTTTAACAACAACAAATTCATTCGTACAGCATTATTCACATCAGGAGGACATCCCAAGGCGCTGGACAGTCATGGATTTGCAGTGGTTCTTTGGAAGCTTGTTGTTACGATGGTAATTACAGTGTCATTGTGGTGAGACATCCTCCTTTAGGTGGGTGATGGTGAGGGACACTTCCAACCACAGTGGGTGCGGGAAGCCAGGCTCTGCAAGCGGCTTTACATTGCCTCACAATTATGGTTCCGTTGCGTCACTCAGTCCCACGGGTGCCTTTCGACTCTCTGAGTTACATTTTTTTAAAAATCATGTTGTATTGGAGTGTTCCCAATGTGCTGGTTTAATTTCTTCACTAAAGAAGAGAGTGGTTCCTTGATTGACCTTGTTACCCAAGCAAATACCTCAACCTTCGTAGTCTGATGCTCTATTCCTTCGTGAAGAAGTGCCTCCTCGCGGCTTGAGAAACATGTGTGACAGAAAAGTAGAAAGTAGATGGGATATTTGGCACTGAAGTCAGATTTTCCATGTTCTCAGGCCCCTGGTTGCTTCTTCAGCAGATAAGCTTGAACTCCAGGACTGCCTTGAGCACGGCAGGATAGCAAAGGTAAGCGCTGCACTACGCTGCTCTTCAAAGACTTGTCAGAACATATATAAGAACATAGAGAAGAACATAAGAAATGTTAGACGCATAAAGACCATGGTCCATCTAATTCGCCTTCCAGCTTTCTGGTGGTCGCAGGGACAACAACCCCTCCCCCGCTCCCCCCGTTCGATCTAACAGAAACCCCCACAACACAGCACAGACGTCTAGGCTCTCCGTCCCTCATTGGTCCTGCCCTTTCCTTGTCTTGCCACCCACCCACTCCCTCCCTCCCTCCTTCCGCCTGCCCCATCAACCCCTCCACTCCCTCATGAATAAGCCACCATTCCTGCCAGCGGTCACGTTACTGTGAATAGACTATGCCGCCCAGCCAATTATTAGACCTATTTTTCCGGGCTGTGAGACGTACACCTGTTAACTGGAGTATTAGTGGCTGGATCAGTCTTCATCACGCTGCCACCTGTCAGAAACGATTGCGGGTGTTGCCATCGGTGTGCGGCTGGTAAGCGATTAGTCTGCCAACGATGGCACTTTCCGTCGCGTGCCTCCCGGGGTCGCGACAGAGCAGAGAGTGGGGGGCAAGGGGGTGGAACGAACAAGGCAGCTCGGCTACCGTCTGCTCCACAGCCGCTGGCGTCCTCTGGCCCTGCTCCACGTCAGCTGCCTTGAACAGGGAATCGGTCTGAAAGGCTTCCATCCTTAGCTCGCCACAGTTGTCCATGAATGTGCTGAAGGTAGAACAGGGTTATATTAAATCACTGGAAAAACCCATGAGGTTATTTCCAAGCTCCCTTTTTTGGTCTGCTTCTGCCCCTATAACAACACACTACATTTGATGCAGTACTTGAGAGATAGCTGCTGCCGAGTGTAGTAATTGTGTAAGATACATGCCGCACTTTAAGCATTTATAACCAGTAACTAACTACCCCTGTAGGTGTTGTAGCTTTGCTCTGCAGTAAATTGTAGTGTTTGTGTGTGTGTGTATATATATATATATATAGAGAGAGAGAGAAATGGTGATGGTTTATGTATGTGTTAAAAACTGAACTTTTAGTTGCAGAGCTGGTGAAATGGACCCTGACTTTGTGTGTTACAATGTTCTACAGTTTAGCAAAGTTAGGACCATAACGACCAGGTCGAACTCCATAAAGCAGGGCAAGGATCAACATTTCCCAGTTATCATGAATGGGAAGGAGGACATTCTGTGGTGCACGGAGCTGGAGAGGTGAGCCTTGCTGGCTTTCTTTCATTTTTTTTTGCAAATGCTTCTTTCACCCTTGTTGGGTTTTTTGGGGGGACGGAGGCAGTGTGGGGGGTTGGGGTGGGGGTGAGAGGAGAGGGGGAGGCAAATTATTTGATTTGTTTTGCGTCCAGTTTTGGTTGCCCTTAACTTTTTTTTCCATTAGTACTGCTCAATCCCCATTGACTGAATTAGACCGAAACGCGTTCCACTTAGGAAATCAGGGTTGTCCCCTGCAAGCAACACCCAGCCCCAACCGCCCTCCCACTCCCCCCCAAAAAAAACTTTACTAGGCCCCAAATTATCAAAGGACAGTGTGGAATTAACCAAACTCTTCACGAACACCAATTAACCCAGTCAAAATTGGATAGCTAGATTGAGGGAGCTGCTCTTCGCGCTCTGCCTGGGGTACTCCCTCGCTCCCGATCCCTTGGTTCCCTCCCCTTTCCCAACCCAGCGCATAAGAGCAACAATAGTTTTCACTTGTGCACCGCCTTTCACAAAGTGTGCGCGTGTGAGTGATGGGGGGAAGCTAACTAGCCTCTAACTCTACAGGAGACTGCAGAGCGAAGACATATTGTGGTGAAGAGTCAGTCTCGTGGACAGGCTGACCATGGCAACAACATAGATTGTTGCGTTAGGGATTATGTCAAAAGAAAGCGAAATCCGGAACAGTAGATCCGTATGAAATTCCGTATGTTTCCACAACTTCACCAGCAGCGCTCTGTCCCAGATTTTGCCTCCAGCAAACTTCAAACGCTTTGTGCAAGGCCTGGGCCCACAAGCAACCGTGAGGTAATATGGACAATTATTCTTGAGGATTGTTGGCCAGTACATCCGAAGGTAGCTTTCCCACTGCCTCATTTGGAAAAAATTATGCAGGATCTTCATCGTCCCCCTGAACAAGCAGATAGATCGTTTAACAATTCAACTGAAGGAAGGCGCCTCTGACAATGAGGTCCTCCCGCACAGTGCTGTGTTGACGAGTCGGCCTAGATTATCAGCTCTTAAATCTAACGCGGGGTTTGAACCCACAACCTTCTATCCCAGATCCTATTGTGCTGCCAATTGAGCCAGATAATTGAAATCGTTCAGTGTATTGAAGTAGAAATCTGGAAGTGCCCGGAGCAGGCTCCTCTATTATACTCTGCAAGATTATTTTCTTCCAAGTCTATTTTCCTGGTAAACTCGGTCGCTATTACTGACTCAGAGCTGGAGTGAGTGAGTGAGTGAGAGAGAGAGAGAGAGGGAGAAATGGATAAAATCAGTGATAAAATTGATCTTGTGTTTGCGAGTGATTTGCCTGTTTCGTGATGGTGATCGTCTCTGTAATCCGCATGTCCGGTTGTGGGAAAGCGCGGGTTACTTTTCTGTACGTGTTTACACCTTGGGTGTGAGAAAGCTTTTCTTTTGTTCACACTGACAGCTTCTTATCCCTGCAGTTAACTTGGCTTGACGTGCTGTTTTCATAATGGGTGTGGGGCGAATTGTCTTGTGTATATTATACTCAGACATGCATAACATTGTGTTGGGGCTTCTATTGTGCAGTTATGTTTTCAGCAGGCAGTAATGTGCTTGTATCAAACTCGCCTCACTGTATGTGGATGTGCAATTCCACTCTGATTGCTTGCAATGTTAATCATTTGGATGTTTCCGTCTCAAGGGTTTGTTTGACCCTTTGGGGAAGAGAACGCACAATAGACTTTAAACTACCAAACAAACAGGACATCCTCACAGTTAAGTGACATGATTCATGCTGGAGGGTTAATGGGCTTGTGTTGCCCTTTTTTGGTTGGAATGATTTCGGAATGCAACACTGCAGTATAGTCTACGCCCATAAACCATCCTATTCCATTCAGAGCCTTCATGAGCAGAACTCCGCTGATAATGCGTCCATAAAGATCATGACCCTTTTTTTCCGTCTCGTCTGTTTAACAGTGGAGGAGCGAAAGATATCCTCGCTGCTACTCCTTGGCTAATCAGCTGGGCTGTGGTTGAGAATGTCATAGCATTTTTTTTAAGGAATAATGACATCAGTGTTTATGTGCAAGATAATCCATGTAAATCTGCAATAAAGAGAGTTGCTGGAATTCTGTGGTTGTAAGTTGGGATCTCATTTGTGGCTTTTCAATTTGAATGCCCAAACCATAGTGGGACTGAATTGCTCCAGGTCATGGTTCCACGTTCCTCCCCCCACCCCCAAAGCACAACTATCTATAATGTGCCTATTCCCCCAACCCCTAATTTTATAATGTTCATAGAATCTTACAGCACAGAAAGAGGCCATTTAGCCCATCGCGCCTGTGTCGGTTCTTTGAAAGAGCTATCCAGTTCGTCCCACCCCACCACTCTTTCCCCATAGCCCTGCAATTTTTGTCCTTTTCGGGTGTATATACAATTCGCTTTTGAAAGTTATGATTGGATCAGCTTCCACCCACCATTCTTTCAGTCAGTGCATTCCAGATCGTAACAACTCACTGCGTTTATATATAAAAAAATATCATCTCCCCTCTGGTTCTTTTGCAATTATCTTAAATCTGTGTCCTCTGGTTACTGGCCCACCCGCCAGTAGAAACAGTTTCTCCTTATTCAATCTAATCAAAACCCCTCAGAATTCATTTTACGATTTGTGATCGAATTCACGTGAGCGCTCGTCTGCACTACCGAGCATTGCAACAACTCTCATGACAGTTGCGCTCTATTTATCTGACAAGAGTCGTTGTCTATTGCAAGTGTGACCGCTACAGCCCGAGACTTCAGGACAGTCTTGCGAGTTCACACAGCAATTTTGTGTTGTGATGTGGTAATGATCAGATTGTTGTTATGATCCGTTTATTATCTCTGATACTGAATGAACTAGCGATATGTGCAGTGAGACATGGGTTGAAATACTTTTTCTGGATTTTTAATTTAAAGCTTTTATTGATGAGATTTAAACAGTTTAGTACATTAACTTCCGGGATTAGGTGAGCAGGGTGTGGTTCCTCTGCGGAGATGTGCGCACTCCATATTAAATGATAATAATCTTTGCATTTGATATATATATATTTTGTGGGTGAAATATTCAGACAGATGGGTTTCTGCATATATCTGATACTTGAAATACCCATAGAAAAAAATGTGGTTCAATTGGTTGCTATTTACAAATGAGTTATTGTCCAATAATTCAGAAAGTTAGCAAACGATCTCTTGGGAGCAAGCTATTCATTGTTTCCATGGGATTTCGGAATTGGTGGTGTTGTCAGATTGTAATGACCACCATAATGGAGGTGGTGTCAAAGACGCTGGTAAGATTGACTTTGTGTAAGTACTGTCATAATTAACTAAGAAAGCCTGAATTGCGGAGTAAGGTTACTCGCCGTAACTTTTCCTCAGGTTGTATTCTTCCCTGAGTTTGAGTTGTCTGTTTATATTGCAACCTTATACATGAATAACCATCAATATTCAGACAGAGATACAAATGCATGGATTCTTTTAGGCATGGTGATGAGTTTTTGCATGTGTCAGATACTCAACTAACCAAAAGAAAAATTTGTACAAAGTTACGAGTGGATTATCCTCTTGGGTGTGAGGGATTAAGTGGGAACGTTATACATGGTCTGTGAAAGGAGCAGGTTTGTTGGGTCAAATGGCCATTTCTCACTGAAGAGGAAGTTTAGAAGAGAGCAGCAAAGGTGATCCCCAGTGTTAGAGGCTCTGAGCAGATCTTAGGTGGGTTAGGGCTCTCCCAGCATTGAAAAGAGATGCTTAAAGGAGAACCTTATAAAGTTATATAAGATTTTAAATGGGATTGATATCATAAACCATGAACTGTACTTGGCCCAAACAGTAGAACAAGAGGACAAGGACAAAGGCTATTTCAAGACAGACACCAGGAATTATTTCTTTACCCAGAAAGGATTTAAGGAGCATAACTGTTCTCTGGAAAGTGGTTGAAGCCAGGACACTGGAACTCGTTTTTTTTAAAAAAAACTTGATGCTGTGATGGTAGGATGGATATTCTGGAAGGATGTGATCAAACGAAGAGTTTTCTTCATGCAAATGTGAAATGCTTGTCTTCCCACAGGATTTTTGGATTCCCAGTGCACTACACGGACGTATCTAACATGGGGCGTGGAGCCAGACAGAAACTCCTTGGAAGGTCGTGGAGCGTGCCTGTCATTCGCCACCTATTTGCGCCACTGAAGGATTACTTTGCTTGTGACTAGCTCAGACCAACGGGGTGCCTTCCAGGAACATAAAGGTGCTCTCAATAGAAGATGATGTGTAGTCAAAACAAAATTCAGACTTTTTTTAAACATATCAACATACTGTGACACAAGAACATTTGAATGGCATTATTCTGAAGGTAGCGGACTGTACATTTATGATACAGTGGCTACTTGTCAGTTATACCTCAGGACATGGTAAGTGGCAAGTGCTTACTTACAGTGCTTACTCAACTTTTGCAATCATCTTTTATACGAAACCATAGTAGAATTTCTACTTTTACCTATAGCTTTGTTAGTGTGCAAAGACTGTACTTTGCAATTTTAGTACTTGGCCAATCTTGTTTTATGGGGTTTCTGTTTAAGGGCGTTTAACTCTTAATGGTGCTATTGTCCACCTTTTCGATTTTCATCTTCAAATCCAAAATACCTGAAATAGTATTTTATTTTATACATAGTTGTAGCTGGATTCTTGGTAGATGGGTAGAATACTGTAAAACTACTGACGGAGGGTAAATACTGTATAGTACATTTTTGTTTTTTTAAAAAAAGTGATGCACCATCATTGTTGATGTTGAACTTGATGTTTCTCTGTTAAACAGTATTCCAGTACGTTTCTTAATTACGGATTGCAGTTTTCACTCCGTAGTCTTTGTTTGTATGTGTAGACGGCCCCACAAAAAAGAGAAATCATGTTTTAATTGAAATTTTTTGCTATTGAACCGAGGTCTGCAAATGTGTAAACGAACAAAAGAAAAAAAAGTTTAATGATGGAAAATGTAGCATTGTTTATAAAGAGAAAGGGTCTGTTCCATTAGCCACAGAGAGGAATTCATCCCACTCAATCTCATATGGATCAGACACACAGGACGGAATTGAGAGGTGGTTCATTTTGAGCCTACAAGGGGTTTATTTTGTTGTTGCTTCGTTAATTGTCACGTGCGTTTGTTTTTCCAAAAAAAAATACTTTTAATAATGTTACCACAAACAGTTCTGTTCAGGTTGATTTAAAAATCAAAGGCAGCAAGCAAAATACAATTTTACTGTTAATCTATAGCACAGTTAGTTACCGTTTCTATTTTTATATTTTTAAACTTCAATTTTGTACCTATTTTGCTACCTATGACCATCCTCTCTCCTCTTCCAACCGCGCAGGGAGTCCCTTTAATTGAGCTCCCCGACCTCAACTAAAAGGTGCTTTAATTAGAGGTCATTAAACGATTCCTTTAATTTTTCTCATACTTCTATGGAGGTGCTCAGTCCCCACTTCACAACTTCCAGAGGCACTATACGGACATCAGAAGATTCCTGGGCTATCAGGTTTTATGGCACAGTAACTCTATTGCACTGGTGGATTTTATTTGCTTTTCTAAATTATTGCAAATTAAAACCAATAATAGCACTGTCCATATTTAATAACACATTGAGGGGGAAGGGGAGATCCTTTTGACGGCAGTATTTCTAAAATACTGTGGATTCAAACAATATTGACAGCTCTGTGGTCATCCAAGTGGGAATGTTAACAGTCGGAATTTTTTTTCAATCCCAGATTTGGGAGTTTTCACACGGTTCCAAAGAGCTGCTGCTGTGGTGGGAGTTCCGTCCCGGTTCTGCTGTAATCAGGGTTAGAATAACAAATCGCATATCTTAAAAATTCATCCATGGAGATAATGGTCCAAATTACATACAGAATGGATGCTGTTCACTGATATATCTGCTCAATCGCGCTCTATCAACAGAATAGTGTATTTGGATTTAATACGATTTAATACTGAGTCAGGTGAGATTTAATACTAACAGTGACTGACTATTACAATATTTTGAGATCCTATCAGCAGTTGATCACACAGAACAGAGACAGGCACAATAGAACATCTAATTTTTGTGTTTTGAACCCATGCCAAGTAAGTCATGATTTGAATGCCCAGATCAGGTGCGTGTTGTTCACCCAGCTCCATTCAAAGCCATGAGGAGCAGGCAGTGTAAAACCAGCTTCCCACTCCACATCACTGAACACCAACCAGAGAGCGCGAGGCAGGGGAGGGAAAAGGGCAGGAGAATGGGACTAGATGACTCTTCATAGAGAGTTCTTGCAGGCACGATGGGCCCAATGCCCACCTTTTTACATATTAAAAAGGTTATGGTAATCTCAGAATCTTTTAATTTCTTTCCATGTAAATGGAATTAACAGAGTTAGTCACAGAACTGGTGAGGAGGTTAGAATGGGACAAAGATTATGTGACAGAAAAGCAAAGGACTAACACCACCATATTGCTACCCAAGCTCTTTTGAACTTTCCCTTGGACAAATTACGTAAGTCGGCATTTTGGAGGATCTGCAAATGCACGTTAGTGCGTTTCTCTTCTCTTTCCCCCCCCCTCCCTCCCTCTAGTAAAATCTGTGTTTCACTGATCAATGTGACGTTTGTAGATGTTAACACTGCCGTAACGCTGTTGAAGTTGTGAAGTGTTCTGTGCAGCAAAAACAGAACAATAAAAGTGGCCAAATTCATGTCCATGCCTTAGGAAATGGGTCACAAACTATTTCCAACCGTGAGTGAATTCTGGGAGTTTTCCATAATGTGCCATTTGCTAACTCTACAAAATTAAAAGGATAAACTACATAGAGAGAACACCAGCAGAGCTAAATGCACTGAACCTAATCCTTACCCTCGGTGCTTTTTAATACTACTCAGTACATTTTATACGAACAATGTTTACAGTTGAGCTTTTGTAACCAGGTACGGCTAGTTAGTTTTCATTGGGATCATTCCTCCTGCATGTTACAGTGAACGTTTACATTTTTAAAAAAAAAGATCCTTGAGGGGGAAAAAAATGTACAGCGAGCACTAATTTGAAAAGGTTGTTTTTTCTTTAAAAAGTTCATGGCTCTCGTTTAAATTTTAATTGTTTGGACTCGCGGACCGAGTTCCATTTGAAAAATGCGCGAACAGGAAAATGTTTTCGGATGTGCATCACTTTTGCTCTAACATTACAGCACCGAGATTTGAACTGTATCTACTGCACGTGAGCTCAAAGAGGTACAATTTGTAGCACTTCGGTCATTCCAATAAATGATTATCGCCATTTGTTACGTCTGTTTTAACACGAATGAAATTATTTTAAGTCATTTTAGCAGGTCTAGATTTACTCTTTGCAAATTCAGGACCTTCTTGAGATGCTAAGTATGTATTCTTGCATATCATCCTTACATTTGATACAGCACCTGTCAAGTAAGACTATATTTTATTGCATTCTTAATTTTGAAGCCAGTTTCTTTTAAACAAAAAAACACACTCTTTTTGCAAGTTCAGTACTGCTACCAAGTTAATATACATAATGTAATCTTGTGTGGAGCACATGAACAGCCAAAGTAATGAAATGAGGTTGATAATTTTCAGCACCAACAGCTGATCTCAGCTTTTAGCTCAAGTACCATAGAGGTTAGAAATTTTAAGGCGATTATTTAACATCACACTGCAATGACCCGTCTTTTCTTTCAGTTAATGAATAATATTGCATTTGATACAGTGCCCGTAACGGTGAAACACCTCAAAGAGCTTCACAGGTAATTGCTGTCAAGTGTAAGTGATTGTGAACTTTGTAGGCAAACGTAGCGGCTGGTTTGCAAATGGCAGGGAGATGCAACCAGCCACAAAGAGGAAAGTCCATCCTTTTGAGACAGCTGTGCGATATATGGAGTTCATTCAGAACTTTGTACTGAATCCAGTGGAACTCCATATTATACACTGTGCATTTCAAACATGAGAAAATATGTGGCCATCTGCTTAAAGAAATCTCTGCTCTATAATCCCTATCCAGCAGTCCCTTGAACTATGATATCAACTCCCTCCCCAGGAATGCACACTACATACTGACAAATTTGTGACTCAACTTGCTCCAGTAGAAAATTCTCCAATAGGGAACTAAAATTAAAATGCTGTTATTTATATTCCAATAATACCAATGTCAGAGACTTAAAACTAAACAGTGACAAAATATGTTTATTTTTGCCAGCCAGTTTATTCACTTATTCTCTTACAATTTGTTCCTTCTCCTAGGATTCAGTTCCTGATTGCCAAGCACTCCTGCAAGTGGCCATTATATGTGTGCACAGTACATGTCACATGCTATTTGGGAGAAATTGCAAGAGATTCCAATTCTATCCCTCTATGATGTCCACAGACACACTAACTCACACACACAGACCTCACACACACACATATACACCTCTAAAGCATGGTTAACAATTAGGAGCAGTAACCCTTGCTGATTTCCCCCTCCCTGAACCAAAGCTTTTAGACCAAGGATAGCACCTCCCAGCAGTACTTAGCCCAGACTAGGGGTCCAACCCATCTGTATGAGTCAGCTACTGACTGAGTCACCATCAGTTAAAACAAAAGTACTAAATTTGATTTGGGGTAGACATGCAAATGTGACAGAATAGCTCCAGGCATCATTTCCTCCAGTCACACGAGAGGAACTGTACAGTGTTTGGTTACACAAAAGATGGAAATATCACAGCAGATTTAAAAATAGAAACCATAACCAGATGTAAAATAACCATTACCAAAATAAGTCTGTTTTCGTAGACTGCAGCATTTTTGTGATCATGTCTTAGACTTAGTCATGTAAACACAATTTAGTTGGGCCAAATGGCCTCTTTTCATGCTGTACAGACTATGTAATGATATGCTAAATATTGTACAATGTCAATTTAATTCTTCTGAATGATGAGTGAGAAAAGTAGACTGCAACAGATGTTGCTATTTATATTGACGCATTAAGATGGCTGGTTTGTAGTTAGTGAAGAAGTTAGCTGGGCTCACTTGGCCAACAGTCCTCCAGATGAAGTGACTATTCACCTCATGGCTTTGTGGAACCTTGCTCTGTGCTGCCGTATTTGCTTACAATTACAGTTGCAATCTGATGCACTTTGAGATGTTCAGAAGTTATAAGTGTTGGAAAGTTAAAGGATTATTACTAAATATTAAGACAAAGGATTTCACAACGAAGTTGGCTTGCACAACTCGCTCTTTATATATCTATTTATTTCACTGTTTATATATTTTTATTTCACCTAGTGAAATTTTGCAGTTCTAACTCAAATCTCTCACTCGTTTTCAAATCACTTAATTCCATCGCACCTCTGTACCTATCCGACCTGCTTACCCCCCACTCCACCACCCGCTACCTCCGCTCAGCTGGCTCCGGCCTCCTATTTGTCCCTCGTGCCCTCCAGGTTTCACCACCGGTGGCCAGGCTTCAGCCACTAAGCCTTGAAACTCTGGAACTCTCTTCCCTCAATCCCTCCGCCTTACCCCTCCTTCCCCACTTTCAAATCCTACCTTCCTTTTTGATTGTGCTTACGGTCACATGCCCCCACCCTCTGCCCCGGCTCGGGGTCAGAATCCTCTACTGTGAAGCATTGCGGGATGCTATCCCACATGAAGGGCACTATATAAATGCAAGTTGTTGTTGTTGAACAATTCTGGAGAGGAAAACATGTGTGCCACTGGGTGTATGTGTGAATTACGAATCTTTGTCACCTCATTATTGGAGAAAATTAAGGCTAATGGATACAAGGAAATTAATTCAGCACCTGGACAATGAATGAGAAATCTGTGTAAAATGCCAGCAGTTTTTCCATCTGAAAATAAGCGCCAAAGGAAATTTGATGATAAAAGAAAAATAGTTACCAGGATAATTTTTTTGACTCCGATGAACAACATAAGCAAAGCAAATGTAAAACACTACTGTACTGTCTGTCATGTTAACCATACCTGTGGATAATCCTGTGTTCTGATTAGCTCTAGACCATCCTTTCGCACTTGATTGAGGGTCCCCAGGCTAGCTGGGAGGTCACTGTTTGTCACAAGGGACGTGCGTGGAATGCACACTGTGCAGATGGCAACCGGGGGCGTGGGTCAATCAGACACCATATGTGTCCCTCATCACAAACCATTGCCTGACATTTAATGGATTATTAATCTTTTTTTGTTTTTTAAAAAAAACATCAAATCAGTCACAATCAATTCTTTAGGCATCTGTCTTTCAGCGGAAATCTCTTTCCATCTTTGAGCGCAGATCTGCAAAAGAAAATACAATACAAATACAATACAAAATTACATTTGTATAGCATTGTTCATGTCAGGCGGACATCCCAAGGCGCCGACAGTCAGGGATTTGGACCCGAGGAGGGAGTTGGAGTAAAGGTGAGTAGAGGGCAGAGAGGAAGGCACGGTTGAAGAGAAGGGTCTTGAGATGTGAAAATGAAGAAAAAAAATGAAGGAAAGCTTCCAACGTGTGGTGGAATTAACTCCCCCACCCCATCCACCCCTGGATCTATCCAACACTGATTACAACCCTGACCGAGTGCTGCTGGTGGTATAATTCCTTTCGTTTTGCCAAGCTGATGTGCTCAAGATGGTGAAGAATGAACATGCGGTCTATTGTAATTTTGTTGTTGTTGTTATGCAACAAGTGTTTGCAGAAGGAATTGCAGGTTGTGCTTCATTATGGAATTGACATCTAAGGCAAGTATTGGTTGTTAATTATATAATTGAGGACACCTGTAATTCTGTTTTGCACATGGGTTTACACATAAATGTCATATCTCCCATCTTCCTTTGCTCAGATATTTTTATACCAAATAATGCCTTACACTGTATACTGATGGAACAATGGAGATTTTCTTTACACAGTAAATCTTATTTCCTGAACGGGTAAAATGCAACTGGAGACTTGTATGATAAGGTACTTAATTAATACTGATGACCTTTTTTGTAGATTTACCTTAATTGAATGGATACTTTGCAAGTTTACAGTCTTCCTAGAAACACAGTAAATCCTGTGAAGCGCTTTGATGTGACAGGGCGCTATATCAAACATTAGGATTATTATTATTCTATTACAAATTCAAAACTTGTGGAAAGGTAAATTGAACAATAATCTCAAAAATATAACAATTCACAAGAGTATTTTTAGAAATAAAAACAAGTTTAATCTTTCAGATAAAAAAAGATGGGTACTACTAAATTGGTATTTGAGATACATTTAGTGTTGTAATTTTTCGCTTCCAGGTTGCATTAGCTTCTGGGATATGTTAATGTTCACCAACAAATGCACAGTCACTACATGTCACAGTATATCCTGTGAACTGCTTTGAGAAGTTTCTATGATGTGATAAGGCTCTATATTAAGGATTATTTTGTGGGTGTTTTGCCTACAAAATATACAGACAATTCACTTTACAGTATATTCTGTGATGTGCTTTGAGATGTCTCGAAGACGTGATAAGGCACTATATCAAATGCAAGGATTATTATTATTTACTGTATATCAGGAACCCAAGTTTCCATAGCTACAGAATTTCAGGTATGCTTAGCTCTCGGTATTGTTGAGGTGTACGCTCTTCAGAGACATGCTGCAGTAAAATGCTAATTACTGTGTTCACTCCCATCAGTGGGGAGCACTGTTCTGCACGACTCATTAAAGTCAAACATCACTTTCTTGTAAATTATTCTATCTGAATTTGTCCAATTTTCCTCTCTGCTCTTTTCCATTCATGGTTGATTTCTCCTCTCCAACCTAGAAACAATGAAGCACTGATAACCCCAACTGGAAATCAGCTAAATTCAGCACTGCACCATTTTCCAGATCATATGGTTTTATGCTGTAAACGCCTTCGGGGGGTGGGGGTGAACCTATGGTCTGTGATGAATCAGCATGTTCTGCCTCTACAGCAAAGCTGTTTTTCCACTTATTGGCCTATTTACAACTTAACACTGGTGAAACGCTGAAGAAAATAACAATGCTTGCATTTGAGGCAGCTTCTATAATATGAAATGTCTCAACGTGCTTGGCAGGTAATTCCTGAAACGTGTGGTTACTTGTAGGAAAACAAGGCAGCCAGTTTACATACAGTGTAGTCCTACAAACAGCCATGAAAGCAGCGATCAATTTATTTGGCTGGCCAGGACACAAGGAGAAACTCCTTTCCACACACCCTCACTTTATAAATGGGGGCAGTTTCCACAACACTGGATGCCAGTGGCTGTACTACATAACACTTGTCATATAAATGCATCATTT